CAACAAGATACCTCTAGCAGTTAATATTACTGTCCAAAGACTTGATATTGATGATGCATTGGGTGTCTTGAGATGGGTTAAACCACTATTTGAATATATATTATTTATTTTTTATATAATGTGAGCATAATTAGTTTATTTCTCGTGTTCTAAATTCAGCTACAATTGCTTCTGTATCTGCCAATTTAAATTCTGTTCCGGTCCTCAATGAAACTCATTTGGCTTCAAGATGAATATTGTTGATGATTGTATGTATCACAAGTTTAAAGGGAGACAAGTTTAGTCTCAATCGAGTGCCCAAAGGGAATTTGGAAATTGAGGAAATGCAAAAGATTCCCTATGCATCGGTTGTAGGGAGTTTGATCTATGCCCAAGTATGTACGCATCCGGACATAGCATATATAGTTGGGGTTCTAGGCGGATATTTAAGCAATCCAGGAATAGACCATTGAAAAGTAGCAAAAAGGGTCATAAGATATTTAAAGAGAACAAAAGATTATATGCTCACATATAGGAGGTCAGACCAGTTGGAGATCACTGGGTTTTCTGACTCAGATTTTGTAGAATGTCAAGAATTTGTAACTTGCTATGAGGTATCAAATCATGGAATATGGCTGATAAATTTTGTCACAGGGCTGCAAATTGTGAAAGACATTGAAAGACCACTTAAGTTATATTATGACAATAAATCAGTCTGTATTGTTAAGGAAAGAGTACAAAGTGGACTGATTTTCATAGAACACTTAAGGACAAACTCTATGATACCGGATCCTCGACTAAAGGACTTCCGCCCAAGGTCTTTCATGAGCATTTTGCTCACATGGGTGTTTTACGGTTTGAGGAATTTGTGGTTTAGTGGGAGTTAGTCATTTTCATATATTTTATGTTCTATGTTTAATTTTATATATGTATACATTGTTTTTTGGACATATTTGGTTATCTATAGATATGCGGTTTTCTTGTTCATTCATTACACTTTGTACATTAAGGTTATTGTATCGATCTCGATAAGTTAAAGTTTGGACCAGTTGAAAATAGACGTGTACAGATCACCTTCACGTAATTTTTCATGCTACACATTTCATGATGAATCCATGTCATTTGGTTATGTTAGGATGAGTAATCATTATTGGTTTTAGTTGCGATGATGCAATGAAAAGCTGGTTTGGTTCTATATCCTAATATGATTAATGGACTGGACTTTTGGAGTATGCTAAAGGAATATAATGACACTTTTGAGCTCATAAAGTCTAACACATTTGTAAGGTTGTAAGGACATATATATTTGTGACCAGTGGGAGATTGTTGAAAAAATTTGGGTCATGTATATATATGATACATAATTTAAATGTGTTATGGTCATTATTTATTAAGTCAAATAATAAAGTGATCTGACTAAATTAAAGTTTTGGCTAAAAGCATATGTCATGAAAATAAAATTGTGTAGAGACCATAAAACAATTTCTAATTTGATGAGGGGCCAAATTAGAAATATTAAAACTTAAGTAATTAACCTAATTCTGGTTATCTAAAGGGTCATGGTCCCCTTCTGAGAGCACACACACAGAACGTAAGTATCAGTCCCGTTCCTTTCTTTCTATCCCCATCAAGAGAGAAAATCAAGAGGGAAATACAGGTGCTCTTCAGGTGGAAGATCATAAGATCAATATAGTGCTCTACAAAGACATCATCGTTATGGCTAATTCAGGTACGCTTTCGCATTCAGTTTACAACATGTTTATCAGTATGAGATTATGTTTATGTTTGATTGTTAAAATCAAAATCAGGATTATTATTATTATTATTGTTATTGTTTTTCCAACAGGACAAGCCTCATTTTCACCAGGAATTTTCACTTGAGCGAAAATATACTTGAGAGAAACTCTTTCCTCTGCTGCATATTTCACTTGAGTGACAAGTTGTCGCTTAAGCGAAATATACAGATAATAGATAGTGCAAATATATCTTAAACTAGTTTTTAGGCACTAACCACTATCCTTTAAGACTCTATTACATCTAGAACATATTATATGTAGTCTAAATATTGTTATCCTATCCTAACATTTCGTACACATATTTCCTACATATTAAGTCTAATTTAACTCATTCAATTGTATACAAATACCAATAATATCAATTCACAATCAACTCCCTATAGATCACACAATGTGACTAAGTCATCATCACAGTCCACATTATTTATCCTAGGGTGCTAAGAAATTTACTACTAACTTTTCTTACCTTAATTTCTTAACATTTGATTCCAAAAACTCCTAAAACCTCCAATCTCATAGGAAGTAAGATCTTGCTTATAAAGAACTCTAATTTACAAGTTAAGTATACCATAATGTCCCTAGGCCAATTAAGATTTATTTTTTTTTCAACAAAACCCACATTTATGCACCCTTAGCTCCACATGCAAGCTCCGCAAATATACATGTAAATACTTTAAAATAGGTAATGAGAAACTTACTTTATTTTAAACTTTGATTGGGTAGAAATAATAGTCTGTACTCTAGGAGCACAAATGCGTGTTTGGATCTAGAAAAAATGAGAGAAGAAGCAAGAAATTTAGAGAGAATAAAAAAAAAAGAGTTGTTGTAAAGAGATGATAATTTGTTGTGAGAATAAAATTTTAATTATCAAGATTTTTTATTTATAACTCTTTTTAATTTAAACGATAAAACTTCAAATTTATAGCTCGTTAAACCATTTTTATTTTTAACTTCCTTGCATCATACACATGAGCACAAATACCAATCAATTTCCACGTAACATAAAATTAATAATTTTATTAACAATGATAATTAAAAACCTAATTAATTAAATAATATTAAATAAAAATTAAATAATTTTTTATTATATTAAACATAAATATTTATTATAATTATGATATAAAAAATATATTTTACTTAAATTGTAATATACATTATTAAAGAATTAAAAAAAATCAATGAGAGTTGATATTCCTCCAAAATATTATTATAAGAAAAGAATAAAATAATTTTTATAACCTAAAAGTAACTTATTATAACTATTAAATTAATTATACGATAAAAGTTTTAAAATTAATTTACACATAAGTTAATTTAAATTTATGAAAATTTATTTAAATAAAGAAAACTATCTATACTCTTATTAATATATATATATATATATATATATATATATATATATATATTAGGAATTTTATGTTGAATATACTGTAAGATAATTATAATATTATTTACTAATTCAGTTTTCTTAACAAAAATATTTTTTTATAAAAGAAGACTAATTAGCTAAAGGATGTTTTAATTTATAAGACTTGCATAAATATTAAAATATGATGCATTGCATAAGAATTTTGCTGGTGACTTCTAATGAACGGAACAACCCCTTCATTCTAATGATTCCACCTTTTTTGTTTGTATCACCACTCACCAAACTTTGCTTCAAACTTAAGCTCAAAAAAAAACCCAGTATACCAACACTTAAGAACTCTCGGTCAAAATCAATTTATCACGTGATAAATTAATTTCTAGTTTCAGTCAATATTTATTTTAATTGTAAGAAATAGTTGTTGACCTCTATTAGAAAAAAAAAAGATGTTGAAGTTGATTTAAAAAAAAAAAAGACTGTATTTGAATTACTTTATTAATTCGTTTTTAAGATAACATAGTTTTTATTCTTCTTAAGGTTCATTTTGGTCACCAAATTCTTTTTTTTCTATTTTTATTCACATAATTTTAAGTTACATCGCTATCTAGTAAATAATCTATATAAGATTTTATAAAATATTTAAAAGTTTTTCACTTGTATTTATGGACAAAATTGATGTATTTCAAGTTAAAAGCTAAAAAAAATATATTTTAAAAAAATAAATCTTTTTTCAATAATTATAAAGAAATTAAAAGATATTTTATCATATTTTTGTATATTAGCTGCTCTAAATATGAATATAAATATTACAAGTTATTTTTATAATAATTAAATATTATCTCTTGACTTTTAAATTATCTAATAAAAATTTAATATAATATTAATATAGTTTTACTCATATAACAATCATATAAAATTATGTACTATAATTATATATATATAATGTACGATAATATTATATTAATAACATGACTATATTAACAACACAGATAATTTAGTAATATTGATAAAATAAACAGTATTAACTCAATTTCAAAGAAAATTGAGACATTAAAATTTATAATGAGACAAAAAAAACTATTTAAATAATATTATAAAATTTATCCAAAATGGCTCGCTAAGACACAAGCGGGATGGATTAGGGTATTTTAGTGAAACATTGAGTATATTTTTATGTGAAAGGATTATAAAAGAAAAATAATTAATTTCCTGAAATAATGGTTAATAAATATGTGACAGAGGGTGAAGTGTAAGTGTGATGGCACAAATGCAAATGTGCAATAACAATGTAGCATTTGAAACTTTTCATGGGCACGCTACACTACTTATAGAAATTTCGTTCCGATCTTTCTCTCTCTGTGTCTCTCGTTATTCTTTTTCTTTTTCTTCGTAAATTAACTTACATACCCCATAACCATAGCCAGATCTCATCTGAAAGAGAAGTGAATATTCTTGTTCTCTCTCTTCTCTCATACATGCTTATCACCGTTCTTCTGTCGGTGAACTTCATCTCTTCATTGTAATCAGATCTGAGGTAAATTCTCTCCATTTTTCAATTCCGCGTTGCATTCAAAATCGACCGAGTAATAATGATGTTAATAATAACATTTCCGTACAATGAGATTTGATTTTCATTCTAAATAGTTAGAATCAGTGAAATTTGTGGTGCAATGTTAATTATTAATTACTATTTTTTGTAACAAAATTACTGTCTGAGGTTCCGTTGTGTTGCGAGAGAAACGTCTTTGGTGTTTCGGAATGGGGATTGGGGTTTCGGGTTGTTAATTGAGGCATTGAGAATTGGAGTTTTTATCAATTTGATTGGATCGTGCAGAGACGGTGCTTGTGATCGAGGGAAGATGCTGACTAAGTTCGAGACCAAAAGTAATAGAGTGAAGGGACTCAGTTTCCACAGCAAGCGACCCTGGATCCTTGCGAGTCTTCACAGTGGCGTGATCCAGCTATGGGATTACCGAATGGGGACCCTTATTGACAGATTCGACGAGCATGATGGTCCTGTCAGAGGTGTTCATTTCCATAATTCTCAACCCCTCTTTGTCTCTGGAGGTACGTTATTCACAGCCCTTCTTATGTTTCTGTATCTGTAATTTACTATCTCCGAGTCTCCTTAGACTGCTTATACTCTGACCCGTTAGTTGTGTATCCTTTATTGTTGTTGGTCTGCGAGAATCTGGTTGTTGGCACTTATTTAAGACCCATCTTGTGTTTATCTCCATAATTTACTGTCTCCAATTCTCCACAGACTGCTTATCTCTGATCTGTCGGTTGTGTATCCTTTCTCGTTGTTGGTCTGCCCACATCTGAAATGAGGACACACATTTATGTTCTACATCTGCATCCGTGGCAAAATATTAGTTGCATTAGAGACATCTAAACTCCAGTAGGATGCAGTTAAAGCTTCTGGTTTATGTAGATTTGTATGTGTAAGATGCATCTCTCTGTCTAGATAGACCATGCTAAACGAGTGAAACTAGAATCATGAGTGATGACTGATATTTGCTTGTCCTGCCGGAGAGGAATTTACTGGATTAATATAAATATATAATGCTTCTTTTATTAGTTTATATATGCTGATTGTATTATCTCTTTACCTCTATTCTTTGCTTGTCCCAGGTTGATGAAAGAAGATTATATCATGAGCAGTAAGAATGGGACATTTGCATTATATGTTTTCAAGCTTTAGTTTTGGTGTACCTTATTTTAATATGCAAAATTATTTCTTTAGTGTATATGCTCTCTGTATCTTCAGAACGATAATTAGTATAAATCTTGATGTTTAAGACATTACAGTGCTGCATGGCATCTTGTTCTAACAGCTAGGTTCGACGTGACTTTCTGAAAATTTCATTTGTCACTTGGAGTGGAGAAGATTTTGATGTGTTATGTATATTGATAAAATAAATTATTATCCACGTGGAAGGGGAGGGTTTTACTTCATACAATTTACAGTTTATTGACTATTTTTTGTTTCTTGGGACAGGGGATGATTACAAGATTAAGGTTTGGAACTATAAGATGCATAGGTGTTTGTTCACTCTTCTAGGACACCTTGATTATATCCGTACTGTGCAATTTCATCATGAGAACCCATGGATTGTAAGTGCCAGTGATGATCAGACCATTCGCATTTGGAACTGGCAGTCACGTACCTGTATATCTGTTTTAACTGGGCACAATCATTATGTTATGTGTGCCACTTTCCATCCAAAAGAGGATATTGTTGTTTCAGCCTCCCTGGATCAGACTGTTCGTGTTTGGGATATCGGTTCTCTCAAAAGGAAGGCTGGGCCTCCTGCAGATGACATTCTACGATTGAGTCAGATGAACACTGATCTTTTTGGAGGTGTTGATGCAGTTGTCAAGTATGTATTGGAAGGTCATGATCGAGGTGTCAACTGGGCTGCTTTTCATCCTACACTGCCTCTGATTGTCTCTGGAGCTGATGACCGACAAGTGAAACTTTGGAGGATGAATGGTAAATTAGAAAACGAGATAATTACTTTATATTGTCCTGAATAATAACTACCTATGAGTCAAAAGCATCCATTTCGTTTTTTAAAGCTAACTTCCCTTTCATAGTGATGCTATGCTGATTATTACAAATATTAACAAAACAGTGTTTGGACGAACTTTCATGTATTGTTGGCAGCAAACCTTTCATCCAAGACAGTACTTGCATGCATTAACTTTTTAGTGCTTAGTATCCAAACCAAGTTTAGTATTTTTATTGTCCTTCTCATTGTCTCTAATATTTTCCCCTGTTTTCAGACACTAAGGCATGGGAAGTGGATACTTTGAGAGGGCACATGAATAATGTTTCATGTGTTATGTTCCATGCCAAACAAGACATCATTGTGTCAAATTCTGAGGATAAGAGTATTCGAGTATGGGATGCCACAAAGCGGACTGGAATTCAAACTTTCCGCAGGGAGCATGATCGGTTTTGGATTCTTGCTACACATCCTGAAATGAATTTGTTGGCAGCTGGTCATGACAGTGGCATGATAGTCTTTAAGCTGGAGAGAGAAAGGCCTGCTTTTGCAGTTAGTGGTGATTCTTTATTCTACACGAAAGACCGATTCTTGCGTTTCTATGAATTTTCAACTCAGAGAGAGACACAAGTACTTACAATTCGACGACCTGGCTCTTCAAGTCTGAATCAAAGTCCAAAGACTCTTTCCTACAGCCCTTCTGAAAATGCAGTCCTTCTCTGTTCAGATGTGGATGGGGGATCTTATGAGTTGTATTGCATATCCAAAGATGGCACAAAGGACAGTTTTGGTAGGGGTGATATGCAAGAACCAAAGAAAGGCCTTGGAGGATCTGCAATCTTTGTGGCTAGGAATAGATTTGCCGTGCTTGACAAAGGAAGCAACCAAGTCTCTGTTAAAAATCTGAAAAATGAGCTTGTGAAAAAGAGTGCCCTCCCGATTGTAGCTGATGCTATATTCTATGCTGGAACAGGCAACTTGCTATGTAGGTCAGAGGATAGGGTTTTTATATTTGATCTACAGCAGAGGATTGTTATAGGTGATCTTCAGACCCCTTTTATAAAGTATGTAGTCTGGTCCAATGACATGGAAAATGTTGCTCTGCTCAGTAAACATGCGATTGTGATTGCTAGCAAGAAGCTTGTGCATCAATGCACCCTTCATGAGACAATCCGAGTAAAAAGTGGAGCCTGGGATGACAATGGCATTTTTATTTACACTACATTAAATCATATCAAGTACTGCCTTCCCAATGGAGATAGTGGGATAATAAAAACACTGGATGTCCCAATTTATATCACGAAGGTTGTTGGAAACACCATCTTCTGCTTGGGTAGGGATGGGAAAAACAAGGCTATAACTGTTGATGCTACAGAATATATCTTTAAGCTTTCCTTGTTGAAGAAAAAATATGACCATGTAATGAACATGATAAAGAATTCACAGCTTTGTGGGCAGGCTATGATTGCTTATCTACAACAGAAAGGGTTTCCTGAAGTTGCCCTCCATTTTGTGAAAGATGAGAGAATACGATTCAATTTGGCTTTGGAGAGTGGCAACATTCAAATAGCAGTTGCATCAGCAACAGCAATTGATGAAAAAGATCACTGGTACCGATTAGGGGTTGAAGCTCTTCGACAAGGTAACTCTGGTATAGTAGAGTATGCATACCAGAGGACCAAAAATTTTGAGAGACTATCATTCCTTTATCTCATTACTGGTAATGTGGACAAACTTTCAAAAATGTTGAAAATAGCTGAAGTGAAAAATGATGTGATGGGTCAGTTTCACAATGCCCTATATATGGGTGACATAAGAGAGCGTATTAAGATCTTGGAGAATGTGGGACATTTGCCTCTTGCTTACATCACTGCATCAGTGCATGGGCTACATGATGTTGCTGAAAGGCTTGCGGCTGAACTTGGTGATAATATTCCATCTTTGCCTGAGGGGAAAGTACAATCTCTCTTGATGCCACCATCACCTGTATTGTGCGGTGGTGATTGGCCCCTTCTTAGGGTCATGCGGGGAATATTTGATGGTGGTTTTAACAATATGGATAAAGATGCTGATGATGAAGAGTATGAGGCTGCTGATGGTGATTGGGGTGAGGAACTTGACATGGTTGATGTTGATGCGTTACAAAATGGAGATGTGGCTGCAATTTTGGATGAAGTAGAAGTGGCTGAAGAGGATGATGAAGAAGGTGGATGGGAGCTGGAAGATTTAGAGCTTCCCCCTGAAGCCGACACACCAAAAGTTTCTGTCAGTTCACGATCTTCAGTTTTTGTGGTGCCAACACCTGGGATGGCAGTTAGCCAGATATGGATTCAGAGATCATCTCTTGCAGCTGATCATGTAGCCGCTGGCAATTTTGACACTGCAATGAGATTACTGAACAGGCAACTCGGGATAAGAAACTTTGCCCCCTTGAAATCTATGTTCCTGGATCTACATGCTGGCAGCCATTCCTATCTGCGTGCCTTTTCATCCGCTCCAGTTGTATCAATTGCTGTTGAAAGAGGTTGGACTGAGTCATCTAGTCCAAATGTGAGAGGCCCACCAGCACTTCCTTTCAAATTGTCTCAATTAGATGAAAAACTCAAAGCTGGTTACAAGGCAACAACTGCTGGGAAATTTACTGATGCTCTTCGCACCTTTACCAATATTCTTCATACAATTCCTTTGATTGTTGTTGAGTCAAGGAGGGAGGTTGATGATGTGAAAGAATTGATTATCATAGTGAAAGAGTATGTTTTGGGGCTGCAGATGGAGCTAAAAAGAAGGGAAATTAAGGACAATCCAGCACGCCAGCAAGAGCTTGCTGCTTATTTCACCCACTGCAATCTTCAACCGCCTCACTTGAGGCTAGCTTTGCTGAATGCCATGACTGTCTGCTACAAGGCAAAGAACCTTTCCACGGCTGCTAACTTTGCCAGGAGGCTACTTGAGACCAATCCTACTGTTGAAAACCAAGCTAAGACAGCCCGGCAAGTGTTGGCAGCTGCAGAAAGAAATATGACTGATGCATTACAATTGAACTATGATTTCCGAAACCCATTTGTAATTTGTGGGGCAACCTATGTGCCCATTTATCGTGGACAAAAGGATGTCTCTTGCCCCTATTGTACTTCCCGTTTTGTGCCAACCCAAGAGGGACAGCTATGTGCTGTGTGTGAACTTTCGGTGGTAGGGGCGGATGCTTCTGGATTGCTCTGCTCTCCTTCCCAGATTCGTTGATTGCACTGGATCAGGAGCGGTTAATGAATTTTTGTTTCAGGTCAATTTTCAACAGCAGATAAGATTCCTCCTATTGATCAATTAATATATTTTTCTGTAGAAGCTAGAAGTAGTAAAGAGTTACTATTTGAGTGAATTTCTGTCTTTCCTTTTTTTTACTTGTTCATGGGTTCTCTTTATGATTCTTTTTCCCCCTCTTCTAAGCATAAGAGGAAGGGGGGGAAAAGTCTATTATTAATCTTTCGGGCATGTGAAGTTTTCTTGTATTATGTTGAATTAATTTTATTAGTTTGAGTTCGGAAAAAGTAACATTTTGAGGCTTTAAGTATTTACACAATAACTCATGATTACATACTTTTAAAATAACAATGACTTGCTTCGGCAGTAAAAACCAAGTTTCCATTTTTCTGCATTTTTTAACTGCCCAATTGTCCACGATATATATGTCTTTGTCCGAATTCTGATTTGCTGAGGTTTTTATGATTGTAATTATTATATTTTCAAGTAATTGTTTTATTTTACATGCGTTAATGTCCAGAGATTAGAAGCGGAATTGCTTCCCTTAGATGTTTAAGTCGTAAGACATGATAGGCCACCACTTATATACTTATTCCTCCTGTTCAGGTTAGTGTTTGGAGCAACAAAGAGAACCTGAATGACATTATAAAATATACTATTCTATTACAACTATTATAAGTTATAGCCACTATATGACCCGTTGCTCCACCATCAACATTTTCAGATAGATTTTCTTTTTCCTTTTCTACTTTTGTTCAGGTCAACTTTCTGCAGTGGAAAACACCCATCCAACCAAGCCCTCTTCTGCTCATTTGATACAAACGAGATTGTTACTTGCTCTTTACTTTTGTTTGCATATCCACTTATATTATCATGACCATTAATAGAAGAAAGAAATGGTTGGCAGATAATTGTTTCTGAGAAAAGTATCTATCCTGCATTCTGCTTAACTTTCTGTTTTTATTGAAAATTTTAATTTTTTTTTTTTACTTTTCTGTTTTTATTTTCTGTTTTCATAATTACTGAAAGTAAGATTGATTAATTAGTGTTTTTTTTTCTTTTTAGATATTTGAACTTTTCATTTCATTCCAATTAATACTTCCACTTGTTAGAATATTGTCAAGGAAAGTACCCATGTACCTCACAAGTGTCATTCATATTTGGTTCAAACTTTCAACCAAAAACCTTAATACATTGAGTTATAAATTTTTCTCATTTATAATTTATTTAACTTTTTTATATTTAACTTTCTCATACTAACATGAGACTTTAAACTCATGATTAAATTCTCAACATAATAATAATAAAAAAATTAACTCTAATATCGTATTAAAATTTCAATATAAACCTAATTCAAAATAACTTAACTAGTTAAAAATATTGCACCTCCAACTTCCTAAATTAATTTTCATTTGATCCACATGCACCCATTAAAAAATTCTAAACCTCATTTCAAAACTTCCCATAAAGGGAGTTAGAGTGAGAGTCAAACCATTTGACCTATTATAAATAAATATTTGTAGCAACCTTGAAATAAATATTATTATAAATATTTGTACGTAATATTATTTTAAACTATTTTATAATATTAATTTATATGTATTTTTATCTCTTATTTTTTATTTAAACAATAAATACTTTAAAAAACTATTTATATTTTTATTTCTTTTATCCAATACGTCATAATATTAGAACTATGAAACGGGTATTACAACCTCTAACAACATTTTTTTCATTAAAAAGAATAAATATAAAAAACCTATAAAATTTTAATTTGTATTTAAATTTGGTTATAAAAAAATTTTTAGTTAATATAAAAAAACGTGAAGATAGAATCAATATTTAAATTTATAGTTTTTTTTATCTCGTGGGAATATAATTTTTTATGTGATTTTAAGACTTGTTTACGTTATGTTTAATTATAATGTTAATATTAGTAATTAAAATTATATTATACTTTTTGAATTGTGATTTTCATATTAATAATTCAAGTTAGACTATGTAATAAAGAATCAAAACTTAAAAAAAAAATGTATTTTTTAAGTAAATACTTTTTAGAACTCATTTCTAAAGTTAACATGTGTTTAATAAATCCATGAGCTAGCTCAAGGCATGACAACGGGATGGGAGCATGTTTTGCTTCTCTAATCCCCGATCCTCGCTTCCAACTTTTTTAACCATCTCTTAAAAAATAAGTTTTCATTTCAATTCTTGCTAAATTTTCTCGTTTCTGATCTATATTATTTAAAAAAAATAATTATATTTATAATAAATTATTTTTACTATATATTTTTTATATAAAAATAAATATTTATAATTTTATAATTTATAATTATTATTAATTAAATATATACTTTAATTTATTTTATTTATATTAAAAAATGTATGTAAACAAATATTTAATCATTATATATATAATATTTATAACATTATTATTATTATAATGCTATATTTAAATACTTATAACATTATTATTATTATTATTATTATTATTATTATTATTATTATATCTGTATTCAAACATTTGATTATATATACAAGTTAATTTATTTTTAAGTTGTCATTTAAAAATATGAAATGTATAATTTATAAGAAAATATTTAATAAATTAATTATTATTTAATTAGTTTAAAGTAATAAATGTTTAAATTATCAATTTTTTTAATCCTTTAAAATAGAATTATTTTATTAAGAAAAAATTTGATATATGATAAATAAAAATAATAAGATTAAAAAAATATGACATAATAAAACCTAATAAATATAAATTATAAATAAAATAATATTAGTTACTACTAAGATTTATGTAAAATATTTAAAAAAAGAAAAAAATTAACATTATGTTCATCAAATTAGTTGAAAAGATAAAAAAAACAAATTGATTGGAAAGATTAAGGAAATGTGAAAAACTGAAAGATAAGAGAGAATAATGTAATAAATTAATTGATATAAAAGATTAAAAAATAAAAAAGTTGGTAAAAGAAAAGTAAAAATAGTGAATTATAAAAAAATGACCATATATATAATAGAAAAGAAAAGAAAATACTTTAAAATATTAATATTTTAAAATTTAAATTTAAATATAAAATCGAGGTGAAAATATCATTACTAATCTCACTCCCACCCCATCCCGACTTTTTAAAGCGAAAAAATCCAAACCTATCCCAATCAACTCGTTGAGATGGGAATAGATCGATCATACAGATGCGATTTAATTGTCATCTTCCTAATTCAAACCCACGTGTTTTATTTATATATATATATATATATATATATATATATATATATATATATATATATATATATTGTCTATATTATAATTATTTTAATCTCATTTATTATATAGCAAATCACTTTTTCATCACTTTGTGCCATGCGAGTTAGTTTGAAAATGAAATCTTTACTCGTCTCACATGCTAGAAGTTATAAGAAAAAAAAAAACATATTTCTTTAGATTAGAACCATTGATTTTTCGTTCAGCATGCATCCAACAGTTTAAATTAAACCTACATCTAAAAAGTTGTAATTTGAGTCGGGAGCACAACACGTAACCTCAGTTTTGCGCCACTCAACCACCATTTTTAAACATTCTTTTAATTTTCTTCCTTCAAATTTCTTGCACAACCTAATTCAATATTTTAAAAAATATATTATTTTAAAAAAAAAGTACCTCTACATATAAAAAAAAAAAAAAAAACATCATAGCAATTTAAGGTATGTTCGAACTTTTGGTGGTGGATGTAAAAAACACGTACGTGGAAGGAAGACAATAACATTTATATTTTTATAAATTTGTATTTATATTTTGTTGCTTTGTGGGATATTTCTTCTCTATCAGTAATATTAAATTTTTTTTATTAGTATTTTATATTTGTTAGGATAATATTATTAATTTTTATATTTGAAGTATTATTTTTTTTAAGTTCTCCTAAACAGTATATAAGTCTCAACCCAAAATGAAGATGTACGAGTAAAATGATATTATACTCTCGGCTCCCACAGTTCACACTTTCTAATGATAAAATTGTGATGAATAAAATTTTAAAACATTCAATAGTTACATATTTTCTTAGAAATTGAGGATGACCATATACTAAACTTACATAAATATGTCTTCTCTATCTTAATCATTATTAAATATACTTATTCGTTACTTATCATAAAGTTCAGATTCTCTCCTTCTAGATAAAATAATACAGTTTAATTTAATAACTTAAAATTATTTTAATTAGTATAATTAAATATTATTTTTACAATATTTTAACTTGAAATAATGATTAATTTATAAAAGGTTTTAATTTTTTATAATTTTTCCAAAACTAATTTATTTTTAAAAAATTATAAGATAAAAAAATAAAACTAAAACAATTGTACAGTTTTAAAAAATATTATATATATTTATAATATTTTTGTTTGTAAATAAAATAAAAACATAGTTATTTTTATATTTTTTTATTATCGTTCAAAATTAATATAATTTTTTAATTTATTTTACTTTAATAAATATATTTTGAAAGATGATTAACGAGGAGATAATTTTTTTAACAATGTTATTTAAATTTATAAAATTTTCGTTGTCATAGAAATTAATTACAATACAATTGTCTGTAATTATTTAGAAGATATAAATATTTTTTAAAACAATAAATTAATCATGCAGGAGACACTCTCTCGAATTGAATTTCAAGTTGCACACTGCATACTCCCTAAGATTAGTTGAATGAGTAATTATTATCACAAAACAATTTGAAAATATATATTTTCTAATTATTGTTTTCAGTTTAGGGAGTAAAACATTGAATTTATCAATTTAAATATTATTAATGTTCTGAAAATATATTAATATAATTAAAAACATTTGTAATATCTTACATAAAGTCAGGTTAACCTTGCCAAAGCCACACCATCCTTGAATCACCGACACTGCCAACTTTTCAACGTGAGAGGTCATAGTTGAAGATTGAGATGCATAAGTATAAAGATTTAAGTATTAATAATACTATAATTGAAATGTAAAATTAACTTGATATAAACGTACCAAACGTACATTCTATAATCGGAGATTTTTCTCCGTAAAAATTTATTAATATAAATACTGTATTTCAATCAAGTAATATAATATATGATAATTTTATTGATTTTAAAGTAATGATCTTAAAAATCATATTCATTGTATAAAATTATTTATACTAGTAAGTTAAATTCATTTGAATTTATTGCAAAAAACACCTTTCAGCAAACTCGCCTAAGAAAAGAATTACTAATCAAGTACTGTTTTCTTTATAAAATTTGCATGTGGAAAGACTTTTGTTTAAATTTTATTTAATATTTCATTATTTTACAAATATTTATTTATCTAAAATAAAATAATATTTATAATTTTGAAAACGGATAAATTGGAACAGAATATTTATGAAGCTGTAAAAAGAATCGATCTATTTTGTCGCTTTAGAACAATTATTATCCATTTATTTTTAAAAAAAAAAAGTGGGTGAGAAGACGTAACTGCGAAGAACCCACACGTACGGAGTTACACGTGTTCGATTGTTATTGGCTTAAGCACGTATCAATGCTATGGTCACATTGTACCTTATCCGTGCATTGCAAGCAATGTATTTTATAAATGCTTTATTTATTTATAATATTTACTCACACCACACACCAACGCAACTGAGAGAAAACAAACCGAGAGAGAAAAATCAGAAGAGGAAGAAGAAAGAGTCAAATTAGGTTAACAATGGAAAACCAAGCCTCGTCGATGCAGTTCCTCCTCCTCGAACAGGTTCAGTTCTTGAAGGTAAATGACGATTCTCTCTTGCAGTGGGAACTTGTAGATGTCGTTGACGCCGAAGAGGATTTCGACGCGTTCGATTCTTCGGATTCTTCCGATTCCTGTCCCACCCGTGCCCCAATTGAAGAAATTCGCCATCTTGTTCTTCGTGAGAGTTTACAGGATCACCGTGTGGTGGATGGCGAATCGGAGGTAGAATCGGGTCTAGAAACTCGCCACTACGATTACCCCCATCGTGATGTTGATGACGGTGACTATGACGAGGATGATGACGATGATGGGTATGGTTTGGATGATGAGCTTGTTCCGTGGACGGTGAGCAACAAGTTCGGGAGACAGAGGATGAGGAAATTGGGGAAAAGGGCATTTTCGAAAATGCACAATTCCAAAAAATCTCCTTATCTGTTTGTGAGGCCTGGGTGTGTCCGTGGCAAGCATGGTTTGGGCCTTAAGCACGTTACTGACTCCTAATTAGGGTTATGAATTATTGATTTGGGGACATAGTTGAATTGTGTTAGGTTGCTTAATTTAACTTTTAGAATCCCTGATTGTGATTTGTATTTGAATATCAGGTGGCTATATCTCTAGGACATGTAATGATTGATGTCTTTCTCTTTTATGTGCATACCTTGTACTCATTCTGAATGTATTTATCAAGCAAAATTAAAAAAATTCTTCTGCTTTTGTATATGTTGTGCTGATTACATGCTTTTGGTGGATGATGATTACTTTGGTTCTGATGATTGCTAACGGTGATGATTACATTGTGGTAACACAGCATTAACATTCGAATTCGTCAAATGTTCAGGAAGTTGTCTTGATTCCTATGGATAAGGTTTTCTCCACAGTGAAGATGGGGTTGGAGTGTTGCTTTGATTTTCAATAGTTGATTTTCTGTTGAGAAATCGGTTTTAAAAAATCTATATCGTATTCAATTCAATCCTTTCTTATTTTTTGTTGTTATCATTCGAGTTTGAAATGGTTTTCATTCAACCTGCTTGATTTGTTCTAAAAACGCATTTTGGAAGTTGAGATTGAGCCATTCATGGAAGTTTCTTCCTTTTCGTTGGTATTCTCTTATAAAAACGACACATACTTTTTTGGTTGAGAGACACATATATTGAATTCACTGTATTAATATCAATTTTTTCTTTATTATTTTTAACCAAATACTTTTAATTTTTATTTTATTTCATTTTTTTACTCTACCAACTTAATTTTAACCAAAGAAAGAATGAGGACGAAAGCAGCTATAATGAAATTAGGTTTTTTAAAATGATGGGTGGGTAATAAAATATAATTTCTTTTATTATCTAAAATACAATTTGAATCCATGGAAGAGGGTTATAAAATATTTGCAAACTATCTTTCTATTAATATATTTAAGATAAATAATATCATTATAAATATACTATTGTGTTATTAATTATTTTACTTGAAATGGAGGATAGGAAAATAAAATATGTTTTTAGAGTTTGAAACTTTTTTCTTGTGTTTTTTTATTTATAGGAGATAAAGAAAAAAATACATATTTTGAGATATAATAATTAGAAGGAAATGATTAAACTTAAAAAAAATCATTACATCTTAAGAATTAGGTCAATAGTTAGATACAACTAATATAATAAATACTTAACACTCCTTCTCAAGTTGGAACATACAAATTATATGTATCAAGTTTGGAACAAATGAATTATTTTGTTAATGCGGCTGCAAACTGATCATTAAAACCAACAAACTCAGTACAAATTTCTTTAGACAATAACTTCTCTCGAACAAAGTGACAGTCAATCTCAATATACTTAGTTCTCTCATAAAATACTGGGTTGGAAGTAATATGGAGAGTAAATTATTACAATACATATTCATAAGTTGAATATCACAGAAGTTCAGTACTTGCAAGAACTGTTTTACCCATATAAGTTCACAAGTGAGAAACGTCATTGTCCTATATTCAGGTTCATCAGAGGATCAGACAATAACGTTTTACTTTTTGTTTTTCCATGAAATGATATTATCTTTAAGGAAAACACAATAGCTTGTAGTAGATCGCCTGTCCATAGGAGATCCAGCCCAGTCAGCATCAGAGTACCCAAAATTTTGGGTATTTCTCTTATCTTCGTATAACAAACCTTGTGTTGGAGCTCTTTTAATGTATCTTAAGATTCGAATGATAGTATTCCAATGATCAACACAAGGGACTTGCATAAACTGGCTGACAACACCAACTGCAAACGACAAATCAGGTCTAGTAATAGTCAAATAGATAAGTTTCCAAACCAATCTTCTATATATCTTTCTGGGTTAGAGAAAGCTTCACCTTGTCCTGCCATTAATTTTAAATTTGGATTCATAGGGCTGTCCACAGGTTTGCAATCAATCATACCTGTCTCTTTTAGAATATTTAGAGCATATTTTCTTTGAGAAATGACAACACCTTCTCTTGATTGAGCTATTTCAATATCTAAGAAATATTTTAGATTTTCAAGATCCTTGATCTGAAAATGACTACACAAGTGCTTTTTTAGCTGAGATATTCTAGCGGCATCATTCCCTGTGATGACAATATCATTAACGTACACAATTAAATAAATATGTTTATCAGGGACAGTGTGATAATAAAACACTGAATGATCTGCTTCTCTTCGTTTTAATCCAAAAGCTTGAATGATAGAGCAAAATTTTCCAAACCAAGCACGTGGAAACTGATTTAGGCCATAGAGAGATCAATGTAATTTACAAACTAAACCAGACCCCCCTTGAGCAACAAATCCAGGAGGTTGCTCCATGTAAACTTCTTCTTCTAAGTCACCATGCAAAAAAACATTTTTAATATTTAATTGATGAAGAGGCCAATGACGAATGACGACCATGGTAAGGAACAGGTGGACAGTGGTCATTTTAGCTATAGGAGAAAAAGTATCACAATAATCAAATCCATATATTTGAGTGTACCCTTTAGCCACTAACCTAGCTTTGAGACGATTAACTTGACCATTAAGCCCAACTTTAATAGCATAGATCCAACGACAACTAACTATTTTCTTTCCCGAAGGGAGAGGAACCAACTCCCATATTTTGTTGTGATCAAGAGCCTGCATTTTAAAAATCATGGCTTGTCGCCATCCAGAATGATCAAGTGCTTCTGCCACATTTTTGGGGATTGTAATAGAGAATACATAAGAAATAAAAGAAAAATAGGAAAGGGACAATCTATGATAGCTAAGCAAATTGTAAAGGGGGTAAGGATTATGACAATGTGCCAACTAGAGTCATCGTTTTTAAGAGTTGTGGTATTAGAAGATGATTGAGAAGGAAATGTTATGGGCGACTCATCTTGGGGAATGAGATTGCTCACCTGGTTAGGATTGAGAGTGTCAATAATTAGATACAACTAATATAATAAATACTCAACAATTTTTTATTAATAACACGAAATGTGATGCATTGAACAAACTCACTGGACACCAAATCAAACTGAAACAAACTAAAATACAACTCACCATTATTCTCAAAATACATAGTTAAACTTATTTTCTAAAACTCTAATTCTTAAAAAAGATTAGTTGCTTTTCAGAAAAAATAATTTTTTTTAATAAACTATGTTGTTTTGATAAATAAATTTAGAAACAAAAAATAAAAAAATATAAGAGTATTTTCAATTATTTTAAATTATAAAATTCTATATTTTACAAAAATAATAAAAATTAAAAATGTTCTTCTTCTTTTCCTCATGATTCTCTCCACTCTTTATCTTTCCTTTTGTCCCTCTCATTTGTTTCCTTCTTTTCATTATCTTTCTCTCATTCATTTCTTCTCCCTCCTTCTCTCGGTTGCTTTTTCTTTTTTATTTTAAATTTCATCTTTCTTTAATTTATTTATTTTTCAATCTGTTTGTTCTCTCCCACCTCTCTATTTATTCTTCTATCTTTCTGTTCACTCTTTCCCTCTTCCTCTCCCTAGTCTTTCTTCTCTATCTCTACTATTTTCTTTAATATTAATGTAATAAGAGTTAATATTTATATTTTAAATTACTAAAAATTAGGTCATATTCATTTTTTACATCATTAAATGTAGCTAATGTATAATATTTAAATAATATTATCTAAACTAAAGTTTAGAATTTAAGATATCTAAATTAATTTATCCAAACAAAATACTATACCCAATCTAATTTAATAGGAGTTATGTGGATACAGCAAGATATATTACACCATTACACAAAAATCAATATGCTTAAAATTTAAATTTGTTCATGCATGCATTTTGTTGTAAATGAAAAGATGACCCTCTCTCTTATTTAAATGGTTTCTCTTTCTTATTACCTTTTTTCCTGAAAAAACTTTGCTATTGGTTCATACTTTGTGGGTTTTACTTCAAGCTAGAATTTATTCTGTTCAATTATATGGCAGCTTTGCCTTGGTGTAAATTTATTTTCTTGATCAACTCGTTTGAAGTGCTTATATATATAGCAATTTTCTGCTTGATTCTATACCCATCATCACTGAGAGAGTACTGCTCTTGCAGCAGATCGCAGAGAACTGGCAAAAGAGGTCGTAAAGGGTGATCTTTCACTCTTTCTGTCAAAAGATGTCCACGATGCAAGAACAAGGTATAGAAGTAGGGGTCAAGGGATTGAAGTGTCAAGAGTGTGGGAACCAAGCCAAAAAGGATTGTGCATACTCAAGGTGCAGAACCTGCTGCAAGAACAAAGGATTTAAGTGCCAAACTCATATCAGAAGCACTTGGATTCCTGTGGATAGAAGACGCCAGAAATTGGAGGAACAACTTCTCACCACTAATCTTCAGGGAGATATTCCTAAAAGGCACAAGCACAACCCATGTTCAAGTACTGTATATGCATTTCTCCACTATATAAGTTTATAACCCAAATTAAGATCCATATATGTAATACAGCCCTAACAGCTTCTTTTTCTTTAATTCTGCTGTTATTATTCTATGTCTCACAAAGACATCATTATACTCATAAAATAAATAAAGCACGTATTTATTCAACCTAGTTTCATATATGTTATAGATGAAAATCAGACACATGTTTCTTCACCCTATTTTCATATATCTTTTAGATGAAACATCCAATCTGGTATCAGAATTACTGCTCCTCTTTTCTTTTTTCATTTTGTAGTTTCCCCCTCCTCATGTTGGTGATATATATCAGTGATTTGTCTAATTCAGGCTTGGAGGAGTTCAAATTTCCATCTGTTACGAGTTCCATGGCGTTGTTCAGCTGTGTTCAGGTGCGTTCTATGGATGACACGGTTAATGAAATCGCGTATCAAACATCTGTGAACATTGGAGGACATGTGTTTAGTGGTCTTCTTTATGATCAAGGACCTGAACAAAGCTTCAATGCTAAGAGTGACAACAGCTCCATAGACCCTTTTGATCAACAACAACAAAATCTCAATCTCAGGAGTGTTTCATTCCACAGTCGTGATGGTGCAAGTGCAATGCCTCCACTCTCAGCCACTACTTCTCAGGAACCATTTTTTATTCCACACCATCCATTTTCCCTAGCTTCCTTCAGACCTGATCTGACATACTTGTCACACCCAAAATCTTAATTTCTTTCTGGACACAAAATAAAATGAGATCAGAGGGTATATTTAGATGCCGGGAAAGAAAATGGAACAAAACACTTACTATTTTAATTCAGCTAGAGCCTTCTTGGAGGACTTTTTTGTTCAACTAGATAGAAGCTCAAGGTAAGCAAGGGGAACATCAATCAACGTACACTTAAGGCAACTCTTGTTTTTTTGGTTGAAATACCAATGACTCAATTATATTTTATATTATACATATGTTAAGTTTATTTGATTTAATTAGCTTGTAGCACATGCCCCTACTTATAGGTTTGGCAGTTTTGTCTTCTTGTTTTGATGTGATTTACTTTTTACATCTTTGTTAATCATAATGTTCCTACTTCTAGTCCCTTTCTCGCCATCATACTGTAAGCAAAGTTGGGACAAAATTGCCAAGTTTTCATTATCATCAATATTTAATTCTACAGATGTAATGGCACTTCACAACAATTTGTTTAGTGTCATGTCCATAAGCTTCATCAAACCCAATGTTTCTTTCTAGATAGGAACAAGCAACATGCTAACATAATATGAACATGTTAATTATCTGCGGTTTGGCAAGTCAAGGATTTTTCAATTGGGTAGTTGCTTTTGTTTGTTTCGATGGCATTACATTGAACACAATTCCAAAAGGACCTTCTTTTTCTTTTGCACATCCACAAAACGAGAATGCGTAATACTTAACCTAATTAACTTGCACTATTAATATGAATCTGCATTTTAATTTGCTTATTTTCTTCTGCCATTTCCTTGCCTGAAACCCGGTAAATATATATATGAGTTCCAATGTTATTTTTTTTATCAGATCCAATGGTATATATACACATGCACCTCATAAACACAAACATACCCATGTATTATAGAGGAATAAATATATACGTACAAATATAAGGGAAGCTTAAGAACAAGCGAAGAATCATCCGTAACCCTAATAAATAATTTAAAACAATGCATTTTGTACAAAAGAGGGTTATGAAAGACGAGGCATCTTGTGAAACTTAGTTTGAAGTTAGCTTTTGCAGTAAAGTACTAGATAAACCGAGTGCGCTCAAACTTTTTATAGAAAAGAGGCACTCACTTCCTACAACGAATACTCGTACAAACCTGAGGAATATATCCTTTACTATACTTGAAATATATATATATATATATATATATATATATATATATATAGAGAGAGAGAGAGAGAGAGAGAGAGAGAGAGAGCTACGTACCTAACTGATATCTCCCTCAAATGGATTACATGTTTACAGATATCACTTGCTAATTCTGGCTCATCACTTTCAAACCCTAGTTTTTCTGATAATGAATATATACAACTTAGTTCAAATGAGAACGTTGCTAACATTTATTTAATATAGGAAAGAAAATGAGTAAATCGGCTTTCTTTAAAGTTAGTGGTGGCACTGAGATCACAAATGTCTTTCAACTCACTTGTTTGTTTCTCATAGTAACAAGAATAAACAATGTTAAAATAAACAGTTGTTTACTTTGGAACATGAATTCATGAACCTTAAGCTCTGTCGTGCAGTTAATGTTTCACTGTGATTAAGCTCTTAATATTGACTTCTCATTCTGCTTCTGCTAGGTCCAAGACATCTAACTAGACTGAAGATGATTAATTTAGTTAATGAAAAAAATAACGAGTTTGCGCTATGTTCTTGTCTTGACTTGCGAAATCACTTCTTTCACTGATACTTAGATGTGAAATCCAACTTCAAGACATGACAATTCTTGTGTTTATTATTTATCTGTAATTCGACTATGGTTAACGTATTGCTCATTCGATTCTCGTCTATAACATATTGTGTGAAAAGTAGCATTGCAAGTATGTTTTGATGCTTTGCTTAATCTAATTAACCAGCCATTAGATGCTGATCTAATCGCCTCAAATATTATATTATGTAAAATGTCAATATCATCCAAAAGAAGCTTAAAGCCTTCAAAACCAAAGTGTTTTAAAATTGATGACAATTATTGTAAAGTTCTATCAACATTATTTTATGGTTGTTAAAGGGGTGATGGGTTCTTGAAAATATTTTTTTGAAATTGTACTGCAATTATATCGACCCCTCATTCAAGTGTTGAGACAGTTGGATCTAAGTAAATATATATATATATATATATATATATATATATATATATATATATATATATATATATATATATATATATATATATTTTTTTTTAATAATTATGAGAGGAGAGTGTTGAAGTTATACTGGAGTCACTCTCAACCAAGTTATTACTTTTGGATGTAGCTAAAATAGAAGAATATAATAGTTAATAAAATAATTTATTGATGTAGTTAAATTTTTTATCTGTAAATAAATTATTTTAATTATTTTTTACTTCGGCTTATGTTTTTTTTATATAGTATATTCCACTAATAATCTTATAAAATATCTTTACATATTTCTAATGAAGGTTAAAGTAAAAACGCCACATCTAAGAAAATGTCTTTTTTTTTTAATTTGTATAATAGTTAAAAATAATAAAATATACTCTATTATTAATAAGTATTATAAAGATAGAGAAATTAGTATTGTAATAAGTACACATTTTATTCCTAAAAAAAGTGTATATATGTAATTGGGGGAAGAAGTGACAAGAGAGGAAGATAAAATAAAGAAGTGTGTACAGTTGCCCAGGTCTAATGACATCGCTTTGGGCTATGTTATTGGAATCTAAATAGCATGGGCTTGGGGCTTCACTTAATGAGAAAGCAACATATCTCGAGGCCCAGATCCAAGCCCACGCGTTTTGGCGGGAATCTACAAACCATTCCCCGCCATATCTTGCCGTTATTCATCCCTACTCACTGCGCGCGCTCACAAACACACTCTTTTTCTGTGTCTAATTTTCTCTAAGCACACCAAAGTAATGGCTTCCGATTCTTCTCCTCTGAATTTCAACAATGGTTCGTATCGCTACATTTTCTGTCCCTTCTTATTGTGGTTATCGTTTTCTGAATTTTCTGATTTGGCTTGAAACCCCTTTTCTTTCAGGTCCTTCATCCCCCGACGACTCCCTTTCCAGCCCCATCGGGAACACCTTCTCGTCGCCGGGAAGTAGGCGTCGTCGCCGCTCCTCCACCCCCTCTGCATTCGCCACTCCGACGGAGCGCCGCTCCCGATTCGCCTCCTCCGAAGCCACCCCAACCGCGCCGCGCTCCCGCCAGAACGGCAGCGGTGGACGCGTTCCCGTCACGCCAACCTCCACCACCGATGACTTGCCGGCCTCGTCCGACGGTGGCGATGGCTACGACATGGACGACGCCAGACCCACCTTCGTGTGGGGCACCAACATAAGCGTGGAAGACGTGAACGACGCGATTCACAGGTTTTTGAGGGACTTCAGAGAAGCTCCTTCATCGCAGGGTGACGACGACGGGTTGCACTTGCACGCTGAAGGGAAGTATGAGAAATTGATCAGACAGGTTATTGAAGTTGAAGGAGATTCTCTTGACGTTAATGCGCGCGACGTGTTTGATCATGACCCTGATTTGTATACCAAGATGGTTAGATACCCTCTTGAGGTGCTTGCGATCTTTGACTTGGTTTTGATGAATATGGTTAGCCGATTGAAGCCCATGTTTGAGAAGCACATTCAGACTCGGATTTTCAATCTCAAAAGCTCAACGTCAATGAGAAATTTGAACCCTTCTGGTGATCTTTAAGTCCATCATTCAAAATAAAAATTGTCTTTTTTGTAGACAATTAAGCTGATATAACTATATGAGAGCATTTTTTTTTTTTGTAGATATTGAGAGAATGGTGTCACTGAAGGGAATGATTATAAGGTGTAGTTCAATTATACCGGAAATTAGGGAAGCTATATTTAGGTGTCTTGTGTGTGGATTTTGCTCTGACCCAGTTCCGGTGGAGAGAGGTAATTTTAATGGGATGTTTATGCTTATTTCCGTAGTGAGTATCATTTACTGTAATTTTTTTTTGTAATGTTTTGCTGACTATTGTGATTCTAGGACGAATAACGGAGCCCACTATATGTCTGAGAGAAGAGTGTCAATCCAGGAACTCCATGACACTCGTTCACAATCGATGCAGGTAATGCAAATCTTTCCTTTATATGTATAAGGAATAGCTTGTAATTTAACAATTTGAAATGGAGCTTGATTTTGACTAGTATGATGTGTTGTGATAATGAGTGAGCTAAATTCTGAACGAGACTTCGTAGATTACTTCTTCCCTTTCATGATTCAGTTCCTTTAGAATTTTGTTTTTGCAGAATCAGGGATAATTTTTTTTCCTGCCAAAGTAAAAGATGCGGGAATAACTGGCGCAGAGATAACTCACCTACTTCTTCTAAACAACTTTTGAAACTAACAAACTAATTATGATAATTATAGTGCATTGGTTATAATTGTTGTAAAGATGATCAAACTAATAAACAAAATCAACCGGCTTTACTTTCAAATTAAGTTTATCTTTCTGTTTAATCCAGTGTGTTTCAAATGTCAGCCTAGAATCAGGTAATTTGTGACAAAGGTTAATTGAGTTGAATCTATAGGTTAAGAAACATGCTTCCTTTTCAAGAGATAATTACGGTGCTTTAAAAATTAGTTTAATTGAAGCCCAATGGTTACTGTGTAGAAATTTAATAGCATGAATAAAGGGGACAGCAACCATGACTATTTGACCCTGTTATACGTTTTTTTTTTTGTGTAACTATTATTATTAGTTTAGATTTTAGTTCTCGTAACCATAAAGCTGTAGTTAACATGTATTTTTTTCTTCTACTACCAGGTTTACTGATAAGCAAATTGTGAGGCTCCAGGAGACACCTGATGAGATACCTGAAGGAGGAACACCTCACACGGTAAGCTTGCTGATGCATGATAAGCTGGTGGATACTGGAAAGCCAGGTGACAGAGTAGAGGTAAGACATTACTGATTTACTAACGTACTTGTGACAGCTGTATAAGATTGTTTAATCATCCCATCACATGTTTTGTTTTTTTTATCAGGTGACTGGTATTTACAGGGCTATGAGTGTTAGGGTTGGACCAACTCAGAGAACTGTTAAGTCATTGTTCAAGGTATGTGATAAATATTCTTAACTCTTTAACACTTGTTATGGTGTCTAACTGATGTTTTTAATATATCCTCTTTATGTTGTAGACATATATTGATTGTCTTCACATAAAGAAGACCGATAAGTCCAGAATGCAGATAGAGGACGCTATGGATATTGATAGTGGCCCGGGAAGAAATGAAGAGGGAGTTATCTTTGAAGAAGAAAAAGTACAGTTTGTATCTATGTACTATGAAATCCATTGCTTGCTTTATCACTTGCTAATTGCATTCTCGTCTGAGTTGCAGGTGGCTCGTCTGAAGGAGATCTCGAAACGGCCAGATATATATGAAGTACTGACAAAGTCGTTGGCACCAAACATCTGGGAGCTAGATGATGTAAAGAAAGGTCTTCTTTGTCAGGTTAGGCATCTTTTTAGTTATGCATTCATTGATTACTTACCAATTTTCCGAGGGTGCTAATTTATACTCGGTTGCAGCTTTTTGGTGGCAATGCTTTGAAATTAGCTTCTGGTGCCAGCTTCCGTGGTGATATAAATATTCTTCTTGTTGGTGATCCTGGGACAAGCAAGTCCCAGCTACTTCAATATATACACAAACTATCTCCACGTGGCATTTACACCAGTGGAAGGGGAAGTTCTGCAGTTGGATTGACCGCATATGTAGCCAAGGACCCTGAGACGGGAGAAACTGTATGGACCATGAATGTGATGTTTTACTGCCTTCCACACATTTAACATGGTGGAACCTAATTATTTCTGCTTGTGGTTCAGGTTCTTGAGAGTGGTGCCCTTGTTTTGAGTGACCGAGGTATCTGTTGTATTGATGAATTTGACAAAATGTCTGACAATGCAAGGAGCATGTTACACGAGGTTTGATTACTTTCTTCTCATGCCTATTTTAGACAAAAAGTATTTCTGCATTCATATACATGTTTTTCCTTCAAAATGTTTTGGTTAAAGATGATGCTTCAATTTTTACAAGGCTGAGTCTCAGCTGTACTATTTAGTGACTAATGCTCCTGTCTCTGTTTAATCCAGGTTATGGAACAACAAACCGTTTCAATTGCAAAGGCAGGTATAATTGCTTCCCTCAATGCTAGGACTTCGGTGTTGGCTTGTGCAAATCCAAGTGGGTCAAGATATAATCCTCGCTTGTCTGTCATTGACAACATACACCTTCCTCCCACACTTCTGTCCAGGTTAGACTTTGCCCATAAGCTGTGATAACTATGGGGCTGACAGCACATTAATGCCATCTTCCATCTAGGGATCTTAAATCTATTTGCTATGTTTTACGTTGGTATCCTCTAATATTTTTTATTCATTGTTAAGCAAAAGAAATGTTAAACATGCTATTTAATGAATTAAATTCTCTTAAAATTATAGTGCGAGAAGTTGGGATTAAAATAACTATCATGCAGGTTTGATTTAATCTACTTGATCCTTGACAAGGCTGATGAACAGACTGACAGGCGCCTTGCCAAACATATCGTGTCCCTACACTTTGAGAATCCCGAGGTCTAGAAAAATTGCAATCATTTTATTCAAGGTCAAGGTCAAAATTTTAAGTGTGTTTAGTTAACATTTTCCTGTCTGTGGTTATACAGAATATGCAGCAGGATGTGTTGGATCTTTCTACATTAACGGATTATGTTAGCTATGCCCGAAAGCACATACACCCCCAGCTTTCTGATGAAGCTGCTGAAGAATTGACCAGAGGTTACGTGGAAATAAGAAAAAGAGGAAATTTTCCAGGGAGTAGCAAAAAGGTAACACCGTTCACTGCAAAATGATTTCAGTCTTCGTAGTATTGTTTTCTTGTTGCAAGGAACAAATTTTTATTCTTTAAAATATACTCAATAGCTCACCAATTTTGCTGTAACGATTAGAGTACTTTTCTCTCGGCAAAGATGACGTGCATGGTGTCACCAATGTTGTGTATATTATTAGTATTGATATCAGTGATATGAATGAATTAATCTGGGATATTGGAATTGTGAACATTTTCATTTTTTTTTCAAACATATCTCTCTGGTGTGTTTGCTCAATCTTGCCAATCTATTGAACAGGTGATAACAGCAACGCCAAGGCAGATTGAGAGTCTGATTCGCCTAAGTGAAGCATTGGCTCGGATTCGCTTTTCAGAATGGGTAAGACTCAATTTCTTCATGTTGTTCCTTTAAGGAAAGTATACATAATTAATTAATTAATAACCTGATGCAAAAATAGGTAGAAAAGCATGATGTAACGGAGGCATTCCGGCTTTTGGAAGTTGCAATGCAGCAGTCTGCAACAGATCACTCTACTGGTAGGTTTCCAATCAAGCCTGGTTCTTAAATGTCAAGTGGACAAAAGTTATATGAAAAGGTATAATTTTTCATGTCATTTTGTTCTCTTTACAGGAACCATTGATATGGATCTTATTACTACTGGAGTGTCGGCAAGTGAGAGGATGAGACGAGAAAGTATAATACAAGCAGCACGCAACTTAATCATGGAGAAGATGCAGATTGGGGGACCTTCGATGCGGTTATTGGAGGTATGATTGTTTGCTCTATATGAAAACATACAATATATAGATTATGTTGTTTCCTACGATTATAATTAATACAATAAAAATAATCAATGTAGATATTGGAAGAATTGAAGAAACAAGATACTGGTAGCGAAATTCATCTCAATGATGTAAGCCCGTTCTTTCCGTGATAAAAAGAATTATTTTTAACCTATTTTTTCACTAACATTCCATATCCAATGATAATTTAACTGATGGGCTAATTGTTGTTAATGCAGGTAAGAAATGCAATAGCTACCTTGGCTACCGAAGGATTTGTTACCATGCAGGGTGACAGCGTAAAAAGATCTTAACAACACCAGGCGGATTTCTCCTTTACTTCTACATGAGTTACTTAACACTATGTATCTGTTGCTCATGTTTAGTACATATATGTTTTTTATACTATTATATACAGGGCATTTGTAGGCCTCTTCTGAGTTTTTCTTTTATCCGACGTAACAGTTGCTAATCAGACATCTCATGTATGCTATAATTTAACAACATCTACATCTTAATGAAATCAATTTGTTACCTGTGTTCTTGGAGTTTTTGACTAACAGAATTGCTTGTTTCTAATATAAAATAACACAAGACTTCACTTGTGTTTGTTTTTAGTTTTGTAATTAGAGATCTCCTGCCTCTTAGTATTAGTTGTACGATTACAATGAATATTAAAAATAATATATTTTAAAAATTATTTAATTAAAATATTTATTAATTTATTTATTTAATTATTTGTTTATTATTTAAGTAATTAGATTATGAAAAATAAAATCTTTTATAGATTTTTTTCTTTAGTAATATGTTATAAAATTTATAATTTAGAAATAATATTATTTTATTAATATTTATCTGAGTAATACAGATTTTTTTTTCAATAATATATTATTAAATTTATAATTCAGGAATAATATTATTTTATTAATATTTATTTATTAATATTATTTTCAATTCCACTGATTAATATAATTTTTAAAATAAAATAATATTTATTAAATATAATAAATATATATATATATATATATTTAAAAAATTTTATTTATATAATTATATGAAATAAATATAATTATATTTTTTTAAATAACATAAAAATATATTTATATAATTATATTATTAATATATTTTTATAAATATAGTAAAAATAAATATATTTAATATATATATATATAATATTTAAATATATATTTATATCTTTCTATATAATGTTTTACATAAATAAATTATATGTATTATTTAAGTATATTTTTAATATAAAATAATTTGAGTAAAAATAATATTTATATATATATATATATATATATATATATTATTTTAATATATTTTTATAAATATGGCAAATACATATTTATATTTTAGAGTTTTCTATTTTTTCCAAAGAAATATATGAATATTTGTAGTGAATATAAATATAGTTATTAAATATATATATATATATATATATATATATATAATAAATATACATATTTATATATGTAAAATATTTTTTATATTTTATATATAATAAATATAAATATTTATTTTTATATATAATAAAAATATATTATATAATTATATTTTTTTATATATGTGTATATACTTTATATATATATATATATATATATATATATTTATTTATACATTTATATATAATAATATGTTTTTTATATAATATTTAAGTATTTATTTAATAAAAAAGATTTATAGTAAATAAATATAGCATTTATACTAAATTTTTTTATTTAATTTCGATAGATTATAAAATAAATTTGCTATAAATATTTTGTTAATATTAATAACAAATAAAATTTAAATATTATATATATATAAAATATATTTGTTTTTACTATATTTATAAAAATATATTAATAATGTAATTATATAAATATATTTTTATGTTATTTAAAAAATTATATTTATATTTATTTTATATAATTATATAAATAAATTTTTTTAAATATATATATATATATATATAATATTTATATATTTATTTTATATAAATATATATATATATATATATATATAATATTTATATATTTATTTTATATAAATATATATATATATATATATATATAATATTTATATATTTATTTTATATAAATATATATATATATATATATATATATTTATATTTAATTATTATATTTAATAAATATTATTTTATTTTAAAAATTATATTAATTAGTAAGTTTAAAATTGGTTTAGTTAATTAAATATTGGTAAAATAATGTTATTTTTAAATTATAAATTTAATAAGATGTTAGTAAAAAAAATGAATAAAAAAATGAAAGAAAGTAAATGAGAAATTAAAATAAAAGAATAAAAAAATAAAATGAAAATTTCAGTTTAATTTAATAAATAAATTAATATAAATTTTATTAAAATGATTTTTTTAAAATATATTATTTATGATGTTAATTTAATTTTCTTTTATAAATTAAAAAATTAACAGTTTTAACTATTTTACTCTATTCTACATGTTTGAAAGCATAACTAATTGTAGTTCATTGATATCCTTTACATTTTGATAATATGATAATTCAATTTGTTAAATTTCGAGTTGGATATTGATTTTTTTTTTAACATAATTATTTAATATTTCTATTAAGTTGTTTAATTTGTAGAAACTAAATAGCTTGTTTTGGTAGGAATATAGAAAAGAGTTAATGTCATACATATTTAAGTGTGTGTATTGGCGTAAAAAAATATAGTTAATTTCATACAAATTTAAATGTATTGGCAGTTAAAAATGGAATGAAAAGTTAATAAAGAGATTACAATTTTGTTTTTAAAATGTGAGCTCAAGCTACACAATTAAAATTATGTGCACTATTGTGTTTTTTAAGCATATAAAAAAGTCAAGTGATTAAAATTATAAAATAAAAACAATAATTTATTAAATTAAATTGACTTAAAATACAGTTAAGTTTAATAAATAAAGTTATATATATTTTAACATAAGCATATATTTTTAAAAATAATTATTATATAAAATAAAAATAATAATAAATCTACTTTCTAAATAAATATAAGTGATTTGTTTCTATTTTATTTTAATTTAATAAATTAAAATAATAATTTATTTTAATCGTTTAATAAAAAATAAGTATTTTATATTTACTTTAAGTAATTTAATTTTTTCTTCTATATGAAATTAACTATTTTATAGTGAATATTTGATATTCTGTAATAAAAAAAACGTTATTGACTATTTTATATTATTATTTAATGTATGAAACAATTTGATGTATCCAATGTCTAATGATAGGAAAAGGACAGTCTTTCATAACGTCGGACCACAAACCAGGATGTGGGCAGTTTCTTTGTCCGACACCTCCTCAAACATCTTGTCATCTCCAGCCTTAATTATTTGCTATTTTACTGTCTTTTCCGTTATCCAAAAATCAAATTTGTTTTAAAATACTATTTCACATCAATTTTTTATATAATCGATTAATAACCTATGGTCACAACAATAATATATATATATATATATATATATATATATATATATATTATAAAAATATTATTAAATAATCATGTTAAAGAATAAATTATCAAAATATCATTATCCATTTATTTAGTTGCGAAGTTAAATATATATATATATATATATATATTAATTAATTAAGGTGACCAATTTTTTATCCGAAAAAACAAATTTACAAAACAAGTGAGGTCGAAAAAAGAATAATTGTCTTCTTAGAGAACTGGCTTAACTAACAGTAACATTAATATTTGTACGGATTATTTATTACTAAAAATAATGATGGAGTGTTTAAAAAGTATATTAATTACATCTCAATTCGATTAAAAATAATTAAAATAAATTTTTGTATACATTCTCAATTTAAGACTAAATAATATTATTAATACATTAATTCAAATCATTAGTGATCGATTTCTATTTTCGCTTCACGTTTTGATAGACGATCGTAAAAATATCACCATAGTTTTACTCTAATTTTATTTTTTTCAGCTATTTATTCCTTTGTTTGGATAGTTCAATTAAGTATAATTGTTATTTCTCTTAATGCTTTTTATTTTGTCTTGTAGGATTTTCTTTATTCGGTTTATTTGTCTTTTAAATAACCGTATCTGAGAATAATAAATAAAAAAATTAACTATAGATATAATAGATAAAAAAGCAGATAATATTAAATTGAAAAATAGATATAAACCAACATATGGTCAGTAATAATGATAATTTTGTCAACCAATCATAGTTTATTATATTCAACAATAATAATTATTATTATTAATGGAAAAAAATGGAACTTATATTACTAAAACTTTAATAAAAAAAAATGAAGGGAGATTAACCGTTAAATTTAGTGCCAGCAAAAAATAGCTGAAATAAAAAAATGGAAAAAATGATCAAGGAAGGAACGTGAAGAGATTGGAAGGTAGTGATTCGACAAGAGGATTATAGAGAGAGAGAGAGGGTGGGAAAGAGAAGGAGAAAGTCTCTCTGAAGCCGTAGTTGAGACTGAGATCGATCATTGTCTCGATCATCTGTCTTTGATTTCGCAGCAGAGAGAAAGAGAGCGCAAGAGAGAGAGAGAGAGAGCGCAAGAGAAAGAGAGAGAGAGAGAGAGAGAGAGAGAATGGGAGAGGTAGAGCGTGGAGGTTGTTGTCCTCCGATGGATCTGTTCCGTTCGGAGCCGATGCAACTGGTTCAGCTCATCATCCCTATCGAATCCGCTCACCGCACTGTCACCTACCTCGGCCAGATTGGCCTTCTTCAGTTCAAAGATGTCAGTACTCTTCTTTTTACGGATAAACCCTTCATCACTTCCATCGTCTTTCGATTTTTAGCCGCTAACTCGTAATTAGGTTTTCGCCTCCTCCTTTTCGGTTTCGCTCTTCGCATAATTCATCTACTTATTGATCTGAAAAGAGTCTGCGATTTTATTTTGTTTTCGCTGAGTAGTGCAGGTTTACTGTCGTACTCAATTGACCTATTTCGGAGTGATGATTAAACTTAATTTTATGATTTTCACGACAATTGATTAGTTAATTGAACTTAATCGCGGTGATTCTTGAATCGCTGGTTAATGGATGGGGAAGGTAGTATTTGATATCAGAATTTTGAAATTAGAACGCGGAAGTAGCGGGGACGATGTTATTGATCGTAACCTTGCGGTGTGATGCATTTTTTTTTTTTGGTCATTATTTAGGTTGTATATGTTTTTAATCAAGTTTCAAAGGACATTTTGGAACAGATTGGGGACAAATGATTATCCTAACAATTAATTAAGCAAGTTGGTTCCTTGTTTTTATGATATGAAGCATGATTTGCTGCTTTGAGAGGTCTTTCTGGGCCTAATGTTTATTTTGTTTCCAGCTCAATGCAGATAAGAGTCCTTTTCAACGGACCTATGCAACTCAGGTACGTTTGTTTTCTGCTATTAATAAGCCATTTTTTTTTTCTGGAACCTATACATAATGCTCTTCTTGTAATAAAGTTTTGTTTAGATATCTTGCAATTTCTTTTTTAATGATGATTATTGCCGGTCTTGTCTGTATTGGGATATGTTCTACAAAACCCAAGCCAACCATTTATGGGGAAATGTTTTGACTTTCTCTTTATCTGCTGTTGCTGTTGGAATATGATTTGAAAATGATTCACGTTTTGTCTTTACATTGCACACCTTTTATCATATCATTTTAATTATGGTGCCAAATATTCTCCATAGGAACAATGGCTAAGGTAGCAGATAATGAGGGGAGTGGGTAGGTTTTTGATAGTGAATTAAAGTTCTCCTTTGGAGTTATTGTATCCTGCACACTACTTAACTTTTGAATGTAGATTTGTTACATATATTGATTGTATGGTTGGAGTATAACTTGTATCTTCAAGGAGGTTTCTTGCAGAACAACTGATTTGGGTAAAAAGTGTTTGACATCTATTTGGTGCAAAGCACATGGGTCTTTTTAAGAAAGTTTTCTTCTACAGATTTGTTGATAAAATGGACACCTTTTATCCATTGATGATTTTTTTTTTCTCTTTGTGGCTTTGTGATTCTGCTCTTACATTAAGGGGGATTTGTTTTCCTCCAAACTCATTGTATTTTCTTCTCTTTGTTTAAAACAATTTATTGTTTTATCAACAAAAGTATTGATATTATGGTTTTAAATTTGTTTGGGGGATTTGTATTGGTCCTTGTGAAGATAAAAAGATGTGGAGAGATGGCTCGCAGATTGCGTTTTATCAAGGAGCAAATGTTGAAGGCAGGTGTTTCACCGAAAGATCCCAGAACACTAGATGATGTGAACATTGATGACCTTGAGGTACATGAGTACACTTGTGGACAGATTTTGTTTCCACTTCATTAAATTTCTTTTATAGTTTATAATTTTAACTCTGGCCTGCCTTGTAACAGGTAAAACTTATAGAAATTGAGTCAGAGTTAACTGAGATGAATGCAAATGGTGAGAAGTTGCAACGGTCGTATAATGAGCTTGTGGAGTATAAGCTTGTTCTACAGAAGGTACAGTGCCTTTAAATAATACCATGCTCTTTCATGGTGTTATGAAAATAGCTAAAACAAGAGTAAATCAATGACTTTCACTTAATCATATTTGAAAATTAATAATAGAAAATATTTGTGTTAAAGTGTCTCACATTGGCTAGGAATATGACCAAAACAGTTCTTATAAGACTAGGGCAATCCTCCCCCCTTGAGCTTGCTGTTGAGGTTGAGTTAGGCTTGATCCACTTCACCTCTAATATGGTATTAGAGCCATCCAATCTTAAAGTTGGGCCACCTGCAGATGTCCAGTTTTGGGCTCGGCGTGTTAAGATATCCCATTTTGATTAGGAAAATGGTTAGACACTCCTTATAAAACTTGGGCAATCCTCCTGCACCAAGGTAATTTTTGGGGTTGAATTAGCCCTGGACCATTTCTAACAATGGGTATTTCTGATAAATGCTGTACTACAACTAGAATATATGCAAGTATCACTTTTACCCATTGTGTATTTGGATCTTCTCTTTTGTTTTCTTAAAAGAAAGCATATAATCAAAATGCTGCAAATATAGCTTTTACTGTTTTTATGGAACTTATTTAAAATAAAATATGGGTAATTGAATCCCTTCTGAACTTGTATTTTATGCCCTTTGTAATCCTTAGCCAAACTTAGTTTATTTCCATATAATTGGGGGACTTCTTGACTTATATTATACCACTTCCTTGTTCGATTGATGCATTAAAATTAAATTTAGCATAAGTTCTTGTTGCATGCTGTTTAGGAAAGACAAATGAGGAATTAATAGAATGATCAGTTTTATTGAACAATTGAGAATTGGAGAAAGAACTTTCTTCCATGGGTTCCCCTTTCACAAAAGGCATCCTCTTTTGTACACTATTTCTCTTGATGTATTCCTTCATCCCTATTTTTCCCTGTTAATCTAATTGATATCCTCTCTAGCAAACTGACTGATCTAACAATCCTTAACTACTATTCTCCATCCTTCTATCGTAACATCTGGTGGTTTAAAAATAGGATGTGCTTGATATTATGCAAAAAATGTGCCAAGACATGCTTTCTTCTAGTTAAAGAGAGACACAGACTAAGATTTGTGCAATGCTTATACAATAACACAGTTTTACCTAAATCAGTGAATGAGAGGTATATCTGCTTTGATTTATGTTGTAATCTTGTTATTTTATAAGATTGAAATTTCAGATGTTTAAATTTTATATTACAGATCAATCACCAAATAGTTATTGCATTTTTTTCAGGCTGTTGGGTTTTTCTACTCAGCTCAAAGCTGTGCCATGGAGCAGCAGAGAGAATATGAATCACGTCATCTGGGGGATGAATCTATGGAAACACCTTTATTACAGGACCAAGTAGACTTCTTACCTGCTTATATATAATTTTCTTTTATACTATTGACAATAATCTTTTAATGAATTGATTCTTGCTGGGTGTTGTGTTGTGAAGGAATCGTCAGGTGATTCATCAAAGCAAGTTAAGTTGGGGTTTTTAGCAGGTCTTGTTCCCAGGGAAAAGTCCATGGTTTTTGAGAGAATTTTATTTCGTGCTACTAGAGGAAATGTATTTTTAAGGCAGGTTACTGTTGAGGATCCTATCACAGATCCTGTTTCTGGAGAAAAGGTGAATCCCTCACCCCATTTTTTTTAAAGAGATTTTATGCTATAAAATAATGAGTTGTACTATGCAGCAGGCTATTTTTGCTTTCATTTTAGCTGATAGATAGATCATACAGAAATCGTGTGCCGATGCATACTAGTATAGATGCATTCAAAGGCTAATTTTTTTAGATTCTGTATGTGTAATGGGTGCTATTGTGCATCAATACATTACACGAACCCTATTAGATAAAGGTAGTTTGTTGGTCTAATCTAATGGACAGATTCCTCGGTTAATAGTGGCTTTTCCTTTAAAATATGAATAGAAGATCAACCTATTTAATTGTATTGTGTCTTGGGTTTTCTAACTATATTTGATTGTTATGTTAATACTTAATATTGCTCCTTTTTTGTTGGACTTGTTGGGATTAGAAAGTTGAAAAAAAGAAGCTGAGAACATATAATAAATGAGATTCTTCATTTTTGGTTGAAATAAATTTCTTCCTGTTGTCATGTATATTTTTTGTTTTATATTTTATTCTATGATGACTTATGAATGTTCACCTGCAGACTGAGAAAAATGTATTTGTGGTCTTCTATGCTGGTGAAAAAGTAAAAGCCAAGATTCTGAAAATATGTGAAGCCTTTGGTGCCAATCGCTACCCTTTTGCTGAGGAACTTGGAAAACAAGCTCAAATGATCACAGAGGTTGGTGTATTGGTTCTTAATTTTCCCAAGGAAAATCTTCTGTATCTCCCCCAAGACAGCCCAAGTTTTTTGCTACCATACTGCTTTAATGTAGTACATGTGAATTGATTCCCAGAAACAATTGGATTGTAAATTCGTGGTGAAGTATGGACTAGCCTGTCTTAACCCTTTTAATTGAGGATGTGGGAGATATGGTGTGATAGTACTAGTATTGACCACCTCCCTGAAAAAAAAAACCCCTTTTAGCACGGAATACTAACCTATGTTGTGACCATAGGGTGGATTCACTCAATTTCTATGTTTTTAGTAGATGTTTCCCGTGATCATGGGCATTTAGTGTGTGTACCATAGCCTAAAAGGTAATTAGGAAACATTTGCTCTAATATGCCCTCCATAACCTTTGAGTACTGATTACATGTACTATTACTGATTCTGATGTGTACAAAAGCCATGTTAATTGCAAACACGTATTAGTCAGCACAGTTAATGATTGATTGATGAACTTAGATATTCTTCCTTGGTAGTTGCTTCAGTGCTCATTCAATGATTCTTACTGGAGAAAGTAACTATTCAACAATAAAATAAATCATTATAGTTTTGAGTGGATGGCCTAATCTTTCCTTTCCATGTGTGACAAAAGCATCTATTTAGCCAAATTGATTTACTTTTTGTATGTTTTATTTTGAAGAACCTTCATCCTTTATATGTTTGTTCATTGTATTAGTGAATTTGCAATTTTTGGCTTTGTCTCTGACTGTTTCAAAAAATCACCTGCAGGTTTCCGGAAGACTTTTAGAATTGAAGACCACTATAGATGCTGGACTACTGCATCGGAATAACTTGCTAAATACTATCGGGGCTCAATTTGAGCAATGGAATGATCTTGTATGTCTAAAATAAAAACATACATAATACTGTATTATTCATGTGATGGATTGAATATATTTTCCTGATTTCCTACTTCATCATGCTTTTGATTTGATTAGTTATAAATTTTAATTCTCCAGTATTCAATATACTTTTAGATTAATTTTTGTTCTATTGGAATTCATGTTTAATTTCTCTTGACAATAAATTCATGAAGGTGAGGAAGGAGAAATCTGTTCATCATACCCTGAACATGCTGAGCCTTGATGTGACTAAAAAATGTCTTGTGGCTGAGGGGTGGAGTCCTGTTTTTGCTACTAAGCTGGTATTTGTTGTTATTGTGATCCTTTATTTTATAATGCATTTCATTTTGCCTAGCCAGAGATAATATCTTGGTGGTTTTGTAAAAATTGATTTTATGAAACATGTTACCTTGAATCTTCAGATCCAGGATGCATTACATCATGCAGCATTGGACTCTAATTCTCAAGTTAATGCCATTTTCCAAGTTTTGCAAACCAGGGAGTTGCCCCCTACCTATTTTCGCACAAATAAATTCACTTCTTCTTATCAAGGAATTATCGATTCATATGGGTATCATACTGTCTCTTTTCCCCTTTTTTATCCCTTAATTAGTTGTGTGTGAAAGTGGAGCTTTAGTTATTGATAATATGTGAAGAAGTTAAAACTTTCATATTGTGTGCATGACCTCATGTTTCTAATAGTTTAGACTATGAGTTAAATGTGCAAATACCATTGGAGTTCAGATATACCAAACTAATACTGTATAGTGCACACCAACATATAATTAGATCAGTCATTTTCACAATCTATGAAATATTTGTTTTTCTCCTACAAGAAGTGGACCCTTACACTAGCTCTACCAATGTATATTCACTTTAAGGTATTTTTTTTTCTACAAATATATATTATTAATATACTATCTCCAATTTGCATGGTTCACTACACTTCGTTTATAGTCCACTCTTATAAAATCTTACTAATAAATGAATTTGTTTAAATTCACATATTGATAGATATTTCTTGTCTTGAATATAACTATCAATGTTACATCACATTAAACAGTTGAAGGTGTAATTTGTCTCAACTAGGTATTTGTCCAGCATTTTATAGCAACAGACTACTAGGTTGAGTTGAATATGTCAGAGCAAAATGAAATAATTAGATTAGTAACTACAGAAAACTTCAAATATGGAGATAACGTGGACAAGATTTCAAACCTGTGAGGAAATATGCGATGATTTATTATTTAGATATATGAATTCTAATGTCCATATCTTCTTGAATAATTAAGATATAAACGGTTTAAAAATGATTTATAATAACCCATTAAAGTGCCTTGATTTTTGAACATATTGATTAGAAATCATTTTTTAAGGTGAAAGAGAGACTGCTGCAATTATATTCTTAACAATTTAAGAACTCGTTTATATATTTTATTTTTATTTTCGAAAGATATGAATATTATACTTTGAACTTTTATACTAATATTTCAGGGTTGCTAAGTATCAGGAGGCAAATCCTACTGTGTATACTGTAGTTACCTTTCCATTTCTTTTTGCTGTAATGTTTGGTGATTGGGGGCATGGAATATGTTTACTATTGGCGGCTCTATATTTCATATTCCGGGAGAGGAAACTTTCTCGCCAGGTAACCTTTTAGTTTTACCTTGACAATCTTCCTTTAAGAGAAGTATAAAAGGCTAGCTTTTTTATATTTTAATGGGGGAGATTAAGAAGTTTCTTCACCATAGTAGAAAAAATCCATTATGAAACTTGTATATTTGATATGATACAAATGCAATACCACGAGGACATTGAAAAATGGGAAATTCTTAAAAATTCAGTACAATATATGGCTCATATAAGTTAAAGAGACATTGATCATTTCTACTAATATATATTCGTATCAGTGGATGATAATCATAATTTACAAAAGCTGGACTTGTAATCATAACAAAGAACCATATTTTCGTTACTTTCTTTTGCCTATATCAAATTATGTTAATTAGTGGATGATAATAATAATAATTTTCAAAAACTGCATTCTTAATCATAAGAAAAACCATATGTAATAACTTATTTTTGCCTATATCAAAATACTTTTTTCTACGAACATGTTACATGTTTTTCCAACTCCATTTCAGAATGTCACTAAAAGCATCAATAGTCCTGCTCAAAAGAAATCGCAGCTCTATTTAATTATCTACTCTTAGGATGTATAATGAGATCTGACCAAGGACAGCTTTAGTCAATTAGGTAATTGCTAGTTAGTTGGATTAATTATTTATTTAAAAGAGATTGGTTATAAATAGGGGAAATCAGATTGGGGGAGGGCATTCTGTGAAATTGATAGTTTGTGTCAGCAAAAGAAATCCTTTGTAAAAGGGAAGCCAGGAAACCCTTGAGGAGAATTCTATTTTCCATTTTCTGTTATGTTCTTCAATTATAGTGTTTTATTGTTTTGGTTCATCCTCTCAGTCTTATTTTCTAAGTTTCTATGGCCTACTATTTACTATAATTTAAGGACACAGATAAAATATTAGATCCTTCTGTAATTTTAGTTGTATTCCAAAGTATTGGGGCCATATTCCCAATGTATCAGTTAATATAATTTAAAATTAAAAAAAATAAAATTGAAGGATACTCCTTGAACTAGAAGTATTGTACACATGTTGATGTTTGATAAGTACAACATGTTGAATACTGATTATTTTACTGTAAACAGATTATAATTATATTTTGGTCTGTTGGTGTTGGGCTGGGTAGTCATCCTCTCCCCTTATGGTGAAGTTGGATTTAGGTATTCAAATTTTGGCCCCTTGGAATTGTTGCAAAGGACTTTCCAAGTAAACTAACTAACTTTTTTTACTACCATTCCATTTGTTGATATTAACCAGATAATAAGTAGTTTAAAAAAAAAATCGTGAAAACTGGTTCAGATTGACATTAAGGGACCATTTAGTCAGAGAAAATATTCTGTTCACTTTTTAATTACAAAAATACCACTTTACGTCTGCTTTATTTACCATGTTCAAATGTTTGTGTAGGAAACAATGAAAACAATTTCTATTGTTTTCTAAACAATTTTTTTTTACTGTTTCCTATACAAATTTTTGAAGTGAAAATATAATTAAATGAAAAAGTAGAAAGTATTTTCCCTAACCAATTGACTCCTGAATTTTCCATTAATTTGTGCTTGGTGTGTCACTTTTTTCCTCTTCCATAACTATATTTTAAGTGTGTCTGTGTTTCCAACCAGTCTTCTGACATGAATCTTGGTGTAAAAAACAGAAGCTTGATGACATCACGGAGATGACTTTTGGAGGTCGTTATGTTATTTTGTTGATGGCGCTGTTCTCAATCTACACTGGTTTTATCTATAATGAGTTCTTTTCCGTTCCATTTGCACTCTTTGCCCCCTCTGCGTATGATTGTCGTGACCTTTCTTGCAGGTAAATCAAATCTCTTGAGTGGTAACATTTGAATATTATGCTTTTAAAAATTTAGTCACCGATCTCTCTTTTTTCTTTTTGGGGTATTACTGTCTTTCTGATGCAGGGACGCTACAACAGTGGGCTTGATAAAAGTGCGTGACACTTACCCTTTTGGAGTGGATCCTGTATGGCACGGTACACGAAGTGAACTACCATTTCTGAACTCATTGAAAATGAAAATGTCAATTCTTCTTGGAGTTGCTCAAATGAACCTTGGAATTGTGATGAGCTATTGCAATGCCATATTCTTTAGAAACAGCGTGAATGTGTGGTAAGTTAATCAGTAATATTTGCTATAGAGAAATCTTACTCTGCAGAATAGAACTACGGGGTAGAAAGAACTATTTTGTAGTTTTGTGAAGTTATTTGTTTCTGCAATCAAATCACTGTTTTTTTTCCATCAGTACACACTTGCTTACTAATTCAACATTAATGTAGTTTTTTTACTTCAATGTTTCACTCTCAGGTTCCAGTTCATTCCCCAGATGATATTTCTAAACAGTCTATTTGGATACCTAGCCCTTCTTATTATTGTCAAGTGGTGTACTGGTTCTCAAGCTGATTTGTACCATATTCTGATATACATGTTCCTTAGCCCGACTGATGATTTGGGTGAGAACCAACTCTTTGTTGGCCAGAAAAATTTGCAGGTTGGTTAACATCCAACTCTCCCTTGGTATATTTAGAAGTCTTAACAATGTATTTCTATGTGAATAATACTAACATTCTTTGTTTTTGTTTTTTCCCAGCTTGTGCTTTTGCTTCTGGCTCTTGTCTCTGTCCCCTGGATGCTGTTGCCAAAACCTTTTATTTTAAAAAGGCAGCATGAAGCTGTATGCTTGCTTTTATAGTACAAGTTTCCTCGTTGTTTACATAGGACTTTTATATTTGTTCTATTCTAACTTTTAATATTCATGCTACTTCAGAGGCACGGGGTTGAATCCTATAGACCACTTGACAGCACAGACGAGAGCTTGCAAGTGGAGTCAAACCATGATTCCCATGGTCATGAGGAATTTGAGTTCAGTGAAGTCTTTGTACATCAACTTATACATACCATAGAATTTGTACTTGGAGCAGTCTCTAATACAGCTTCTTACCTCCGTCTTTGGGCCCTTAGGTATGTCTATAAGTCGCAATTGCTCTATTCTAACATTAATGCTCGAGTCCCTCCAAATAAACAAGTTTGGAACCTCATATCATGCAGTTTTTTTACCTTATGTTTCTCTATTTGTCCGTTGATATGTTTCATGCATATATTAAATTGCAGTTATGCATTGACTAATGTTTTCCTTTTTTTGTATCTAGTCTTGCTCATTCAGAGTTATCAAGTGTATTCTACGAGAAGGTTCTGTTGATGGCATGGGGGTATGTTAAATTTAAAAATCTGTAACGTTTTCATTCATGTGTGACTCATGATGTCGATTGTGGAGGTTAGGAGTGGTGAACATTTAACAAATTAAAATTATTTAGCATGACTGGGGTATTGCATGACATATACGAGTATACTAAGTAACTTACCGTCAGAAGGCAACTATTTGATTTTGGAAGTTTATGTTTTGAAGTAAAGTGCAACATGCTTACGGAATCATTTCTCAAATGTGTCTGGTTCTTGTTTCTCATGGTTTAGTTTCTAGAATCGATGAGTTTTACCCCCTTAAATTTAACAATAGTTTGTCCGGATAATTGACACGTCTGGTAATTACTCTGCTTGATTTTACAGGTACAACAATGTGATTATCCTGATAGTGGGTCTCATTGTCTTCATTTTCGCTACCGTCGGAGTGTTACTTGTCATGGAAACTCTGAGTGCCTTCTTGCATGCGTTACGACTTCACTGGGTGGAGTTTCAGAACAAGTTTTACGAGGGCGATGGTTACAAGTTCCACCCTTTCTCGTTCCACTTGAGAGATGATGAGGAATGACATGCTCTAAGATCGCATTAATAAGAACGAGTAGTTACATATATAGCTTTGGACCTGTATTATTCTTTCATTTGATGTAACAAGTCAGTGATTGGTATCTGCAGCCTTGTATGCGGTGGAATCCTCGAAGGTTTTTCATCAAACGTCCCATTTTGTTTATTTATCCATTGAGGGAATAAATATTCCCAATTAGGGGAGTAACTTCGCTTCAGCTAGGAAGGCGTGGTCAAGTGTAATAATCATACTTGCAACATAAACTTAATATTCAAATCTTTATTGTTTTAATTTATAAAAAAAAGTCTTATTTGATGTATTAGTTTTTATAACAATGGAAATATTTTAGTAGTATTCAAAAATAAAATTTTAAGCACTTTTGGATGCCCTTTTTGAGCTGAGACTTGTTTTGGTCCTTGTGAGACTTAACTCATCTTAATTTATGATGTAAAAAAAGGTTAAATTATTATATGTTTTTGTGTTTTTTATATTATTATTTAGATTTTATAATTTTCTTTAATAGAACGCTTGAATTATATGTGTCTTAATTGAGTTTTCCAATTGTAGATTTTTTATACATTCAATCAATTTTGATGTGATGTTTAGATGGTTATTATCTATGGTAAAAAATTTATATTATATACAATAGTTTGTGTTTTATGACCATGTAAATTGTTATCACATTTTAATACTAAAATAGTAAAAAAAAAAAAAAAGGCATAGTTGAGTAATTAAGATTAAGACTAATATCGTATAAGAAAGAGTAATAGAATAGATACATAATTTATATATATATACTTTTTCCTGAAGTTATTTAAGCCAAAGAAGAAAATATTTTTAAAATTAGAACATATATAAATATATTATTTTATTTATAAAAACTATTTTTAAAATTTGTTGTTTATTAAAAAATTTATATTTAACTTTGCATTAATATATTTAAATAAAATAAAGGAGCAAATGTGAGGTGAGTTTTATTTTATTAAAAATATAAGTGATCGGAGGGACATTAATAAATAAGCGCAAGTATCATTTCTTTTTAAGGGAAAGTAAAGAATGTGAGTGAGGAGGACGTCAAGCGGACACTGTAAAAATAATTGTTATTCGTGGCTAACTGTTTTAAAAATATTAATAGAATTTTTTTATATTTATGAGTATTTGTAAATATTCTCAGATTTTTTTTAAAACAATTATTTGAAAATTATTTTTAAAATTTTATTTTTTAATATTTTTATTAAAAAATATAATTTAAATAAAAATAAATTATAAAATACTAATATAAATAAAATTAGTTTTATTAAATATTAATTATAATATAAAGAATAAATTTAAATAATATTAATTTTTTAAAATAATTTTAATTTCATAGATAAAAAATACAAATTTATAAATTTTAATAATAAATAATTCTTAAATACTTAATGTTTCTTCACTAAATAATTTTTTTTGGTAATAAAATTTGCGAGTTAAATACTATGATATTCGTACATGTCTAATTAATAAACAAGTAATTAAAATATCCATATTAATTATGCGTAAGTATATTTATCATATCCATATTAATTATCTGTAAGTATCTCGTATTTGTTTAGTTTAATACATATAGATTTTACGCACAAATAGTCATCGTATGATTTTTTTAAGTGTAGTCTAATTTACACTTATACTAGTTAAGTGTAAATTTTCTAAAAAAATCCAAAATTGAATTTTTATATCATAAAAACTAAATAATTTATTAGTTGCAGGATACACCATTGTCATCTAACAACATACTTCAATATTAATTAAATAAAAAAATATACTAACCTATTTAACAACATACTCCAATGTAATTCAATTACTAGTTTAAACATAGATACACAACAAGAAATATATAATATTGGTATTACCAATAGACGTATTAAGAAATTCTTTTCTCACTTTAATGTGATCCAATGATACAAGATACTCTCCAACATAGATACAACATACTCCAATGTGATTCAACTAGTCATACAGTTTACAATTTCTAATACGTATTACCAAATCTTTTTTTCTCACTTTAATTTCTCCATACATATCTCAATAAATAGTTAGATAAAAATATATATTAGGGTTCAAAACTTTAAAAGTTAAGATCGAATCCCAACAATTTGAGTTATTACAAATTTAATTTAATTAAATCCGTGTATCCAATTCAATATGATTTTGTGTTTGGTAATTGGTCAACTCATTTGAGTTAACCCAATCCATGATCAGTCCAGTCCAAAATAAAGCAACATCACTACCACATGGATTTGAGTTTCATTATATGTTCAAAATCAAAAGTGAGTGAATAACCTGCTGTTTGAACACTTCATATAGCTTTTACAAGTATAAATGACATAAAAAAATAAAGAAAACTAAAATATCTGAAAATATTATTTTATAGGCAAAAATTATTGATAAAATATAAATTTTTAAAAATGTCTACATTAGTTTCAAAACTAAATTAAATCGATGAAGATTAATAATAATTTATATATCTAATATTTAGTTTAAAAATTACAAAAAAAATAAAATATAAATATTAAGTTGTTTGATCAGAAAATAGGAACATATTATTCAATAAACACTTCTTAACATTTAATTTAAATGTATATTAATTGTTTTAGCAGGCAGAGACATTCGTGTTTTACAGTAGTTAACATCCTATTGAGTAGTTGTATGAACTGCGGCCACAGTTGAAACCATGGAATCCACCCCACAAATATTTCGCCCCCGGCAAATCTTGTAGTATCCATTTTCTCCCCAATTCTCTCCCCAGGAGTTTTTGATGATCCAATATGGCTTCTCCTTCATCCGAATGGGGGCATAGGCGCCAGAACCATATCCCACCAGTAATACTCCATGATCCAACCTTTTTGAGCATATGTATGGGCATGACACTCCATGCATATATGTCTGCATAAATACTGCATTGATGGCCACTGTGTTTGTGCCCATTCAAAGTTACAATATATCAACTATGTCATATTGGTAATTAAATAAAAAGGGCTCCAAAATAGAGTAAATATTAGTTTCTCCAGTCTCACCTGCAAGAGGGCCATTTTTCACAAGATTTGCAGCAATCTGTTCTTCATCAAGTGAGACGACACTGAAGTTTGCAACTGATGCTGCAATCTTTGCTTTGTCAAATTTGCAGCTCCCGCGATCAGTACCAGAATAAGGATAGTCTTCCTCGCGCATGACCCCACCAGATTTAAGGATGTACTCAAAAGCACTATTCATCAATCCACCATTGCACCCAGAGTCACAAGAACCTGCTTCATCAGGATCACACTGCACACAGAAATGGGTCCAACTTAGACAAGATCACAAGAAAACAATTGCTAATTGTAATTAATAATATTTCTCCCTCCTTGTATTTGAATCATTAGAATCATATTTCACTTGTAACAAACTTGTTTACAGTGATTAATCTAAGAATTCTGTTCAATTAGTAATTGTGTTGCGTGTAATAGCTAAATGATTTGTAAGTTTATATTTTATGAGAGTATTTCTAAAATTATTTAATTTAATTTTAGAAGTTAAAATTATCAATGATATGAACCTTCTTAGATTTAACCACTGGTGGATATACATTAGAAAATAGACTGCACTTATTACATTGACGTGAACATATATGAATGAAACAAGTGTATTTTATACCCATATCCTCTATAAAAATACCATTTTCCAGAAAAGAGTTAAGGTAAACTAAACATTTTCCATCAATAAGCATAGAAGAACTAAGTTTAGAAAAAAAAAAAAAAAAACACAACAATGGTAAAGTCAAATTATATTATAATTCCTGAGGACACCTGTTTTAAACAAACCATTACCAAATTTCACCTCTCAAACTCAGCACAATAAAGCGACATGCCCTCGATTACTAATAAACCCCAAAAGAACAAACAATTGAAAGCAACAACCCAAACACAAGCTTAGTAAGAACCTATATGCTTGATCTTCATGTCTTAAAAGTTTACCTATTTACCATAACCGTTAATTTCGTAACAACAGAGGACATAAAGCCTCTTAAACTCAGACAAACGTTACACCATATCAAGCAACGAGACAATATAAAAAAATCAAATGAACAAACAACAAGTTAAAGGGCCAAAGAGAAAAAGTAAACAAACCTCGTGATCACAATCAACAAGCTGCTGCTCACTAAGACTCACAAGTTCCCCTGTAGCCAGAAAGTGAGCCCCTTCGAGAGCCCCCGTAGCGCTGAAGCTCCAACATGAACCGCATGAACCCTAATTCACCAACCAATCAAATTCAAACTTTCTAAAACAAACTATTCACAAATCATCATCATCATCATCATCGTCATCATCATCATCATTATTATTACCTGATTCTTGACAGGGGTAACTGCACCGTAATCTCTCCAATCGAAATCACTCGGAAGATTATCAGTGGGCAGAATGGGAGCCTTGTTCGCATCGGAGGGCAACCTCACACCTCTCAAACCCAAAACCTTATTTCGGAACTCCGACGGCGTAAGATCAGAGAACCGCGTAACACCGTGAACCGCGGAAGGGTCCAGGCTCTGGTGGCGCCGAGCGCGGCGCAAGTTAGCCTTGAACACCTTGAACCTGTAATCGTGCTCCTCCCGGGAAGCGTACGCCTTCCCGAAGCTGCGCTTGAACTCCAAAAAGTGCTCTTCTGCACCAAGCCGCACGCCGTCCACCACCTGCCGGATCACAGTTTCCTCTCCGCCGTCCGACGAGGCCGCCGCCACGAAAAAAACGACGGAGAACGCAACAGCGAAGAGAATCAGAGTCCGATTCATGTTGGAAAATTTTGAGTGTGGAAAGTGTGAGTTTGGGAGTTTGTTTTTATAACGTAACGGTTATACTAAGAATAAGACCCCAACGCGCGATTGCTTAGGAGACAGGTAAGACAAACAACTATCCTTCGCTGTTATTCATCTAAAAGCCCAATATCAGAGATTGGGCTGAATAGTCCAAACTCTAATTGGGCCTTCCTTCCCTATTGACCCAACCCAAAAATAATATCCTCCCTCATTTGCCGTCGGCAGTTCGCTTATTTGCCGTTGACGGCAAAAATATAATTCGTCGTTTCCCTTCGACCTTCATTTCTCGGTGGCGACGTTGACACCTATTGTTGAGTATTTATTTATTTATTTTAGTTTTTTTTTCCTCTGTTTTGTGATATAGTTTCTCTTATAGTTTGTGTGAATTGCAGATGGAGGGTAGGTTTGCTGAAGAACTCTACGCTGAAAGTTTAGAATTGTCAAAATTAGAACTCTCATCCACCATTGTTGTTGATGAAGAAGATAAGTTAAACGGTAAGATGTGGTGTGAGTGAATTGATTTAGAACACTTTTGCTAACACTATTACTAAATACCACAAATTGTTTGTTTTAAAATTAGTATTTATACACTATATACATTGTCTATAATTACGATTTAGATATATTGATGGTAGGCAAATAATCAGTTTGCGAATGACGTATTTTTACGAAAGGGGCATACACTAACACTAGACGTTTCAATTTTATTAAACCATTGAATTTGATTATCTAAATGTATCTATCGTTATCGATTCTCAGTCGCTTGCTTTATTAGTTAAGGCTTTTAATTTTACATTGTGCTTTTAGATTGTGATGGTGGTGATTTGAGTTTGTGGGATGATTCTGATGACAAGTTGGATAGTTCGTTGGATTTGGATAGGGAGTGGCAGAGGAGGCATGACCAATTCCATACGGTGTTTGTTTTGCCATTCTGGAATTAATTTTTTCTTATTTTAGTTTCTAATTTATACTTATATAATGTGATTGACTATTCACTTTCAATTCTCGATCATATTTTAGATTGGGTACCGGGATGGTCTTATAGCGGGGAAGGAGGCTTCTGCTCAAGAGGGGTTCAATATCGGTTTTAAGCAATCGGTTTTTGATGGTTACAGTTGGGGTGTTGTAAGAGGTGTTACCAGGTATTCTATGACGGAAGAAATGCAGTTTATTTGATTTTAATACTGCTACTGTTTCACTATTTTTTTTTTTTAATTTTCTTTTTGGCTATTTGCTTCTTGTGAAGTGCTTTTTCTCATCTTCCACACCAATTAAAAGAGAGGTTGATTGAAACACAAGAAAAGAGGAATGAATTCCAAGGGCTCTATGAATCTGTGCATTCTTTGTCAACAACAGATGCCCTTGGATTGTTTAGTGAAGAAATCAAAGCACAGGAAGCTCTGGAACAGAGTGAACACTCAGAAGTTAGCCATCACACAGAAGGTTTGCAAGAGCAGCCTTCCCATGGTTCTCAACTGAGAAATTATCGTGGACAACTTGAATCTCTGATTCGTGATTCTCCTGCCATTGTTATTCATTTACCTGAATCAAAATAAATGGTGATCTATATTTCATGTAATATATACTTTGAGCATAGAATTTATGATTTTGTAAAAAACAGATCAATTGATGTAATTGTTTAGTACACATTTCCAACTTTATGATTTCACCCGCCATAGATTCTTGTGGTGGTAACTAAACTTCAAAAGTTGATTGAATTATTCATTGAGCACAATCATATAGCAGTTGTTTTTTTATAATTCCTGATGATGAAATATGAAGTAAAATAAGAAAAACAAAACCATATAAAGCACATATTGTTAGCTATGCTGCTGGATAGAAATAAAATACATTAGGATGATTTCCATTTATTATAAACAAAAGTAATACTGCATAAAACACAACTTAGAGAAAGTAAATAATACCAAAGTACACTGAACAAATTCATATAGCAAATCCACTTCCGATTCTTGCCCCTCAGTATGTATTCATGTAAAAGCCTCGCTACCCTGCAAGTTGAATTTTCTCCAAGCGTCAGAAAGGAGATGCATAGGAAGTTACTCGTTGTGACAGCTACTTGCAGATTACTACTGGTCGTGGAGATTGGCTTTTTCCTGGTGTCTTGCTTCTTTGATTTTGTGCAAGATAGCACTTGCTAACAGGAATCAGAGAAGAGCTGTCTCAGCTTTTACCTTTGTTGCATGAATTCATCAGCTACACGCTTGAATAGGTCTTGCATGAGCGAAGGGTGCATCATTTCTCATATGAGCTTCGCATTTGGGCATTGACGCTACTGTTTCAAAAGCTTCAATTAGCAATGACACTTTCCTTTTCCTTGCTGGAGCAAGTCTTGTGACAGCTTGTCTGAGTGCGAAATCAAGCATCCACTCCTCTTCATTTTTTCTTTCATCTATCATTTGGTGCTTCAGGTAAACTTTCTCTGGTTCTTGTTCCGAAACAAAGGGCAGGAAATTTGGCTTTCGTGGATTGATCTTTCTCATTTCTTCGTCCTCTTCCACAGGTCTCTTGCGCTTAGTTCCCCAGTACCAGTTCTTGCTTGTGTGCTGCTTTTCACCACCTGTGCTCTTCAGCTTACTACCTTGAACTTTATTTTCCTCTAATAATTTCTGCTCCTGATCAATAATGTTGCTTTTCTCAGGCACTTTAGACATGTGAATTAGGTGCTCCTGGTTAAATTCATGATCATCATTCTCGAGGCTTGTTGCATCTTTGTCTTCACAGCTATCATCAATCTTGCAACTTTCACTAGTCCTGTGGCCTTGACTATTTTCTAATGTATCTTCATCAAGTACCATTGAAACACAACCGTCCTCATAATCCAAATGTTTCTCATTTTCCCTGTTGTTATCTTTTGCATTTGTTAGATTCTGAAATACTTCCTCAGTCAAAGTAGGTTGGTCATACTCACAATTTATACCTTTGAACGGGTAATTTTTTTCTTGAATCACTATCTTCATGTTTTCACTTGAGTCTTCCAGGACAAAATTAGTGCAATGAGGCTGTGCTTCAAAACAGATGCTCCTCTCTTCTTGGGCTTCTTGGAGTTTCACCTCTTCAACCAGAATGTCTGCATAATGGCTGCTAAAGATGTCATCTAACCACATTTCAGATATATCATGCGAACTCTCTGATAAGGCCTTGAGTTTTGAGTTGATCTTCTCCATTGAGCAGGTGGAAGAATCAGTATCATCTTCATAGCTGAATTCACGGAAATGTTCCTCCTCCCGGCATTGGGAATTAGACTCATCCAATTCAATATCCTCCATGTGTTCCCCGTCATATTTAGCCTCATTGCAGTAGCTTCCTGTACAGGTTTTTTCATGAAACCAGCTAGGTGGGTGGTTTTCCTCTACATCTTCAACAGCTTGTCCTAGATGAAGGCTCCCTTTGCTATTTGCTTCTACAGCAGCAGCAGTAAAGTAGGTTTTGAAATCCTCCTCAAAATTGATCTGAGCCTTTGGGAGATCATGAGTCATACCTGGACTAACTTGCTTGACACCATCCTCTTCTGTTGCATAGCCATTCTCGTCCTTTGGAAAATTGATATCGTGTTCTTTTAGGTCTTTGCCAGAGTTGAATTTTCTCATTTCGTCAGTTCCTTCCCTTTCTTTAGCATGGATTTCAAAAAATAAATCCATACCAATTTCTTGTGCCAAGGGAGTGATTGTTGGATTACTTGTATCAGCTTCATCACATTCAGGTTTTCCATGAAAAACAATCTCCTCAACACCAGAGTCTTGTTTTGTATCACAAGGGGGCACCTTCCATCTTTGAGGAATCACAGCTTCCAGCTTCATATTCCTCCTTGCTGAAATGAAGCTCTTCAATGGAGGCAAAGGAGCATGACCATGACCATTAAGAGAACAGTATGTATATGGGCAAACCTTCATCACTGAAACTCCCTCAGACTCGGTTCCTTCAGGGTGAAGCATAAGGTACTCGGGAAAGTTATAGTCTTTTAAAGTTGAAGAGCAGGTAGCCCTCTCTGGTGCATTCACATCTTTAAACAGAGCTGCTGATGTGAATTTTTTTGAACAAGCTTTACAAGATTTAAAACTAGGATTCTTTGTTAATGTTCTCATTGAATTCAAACTACATGATCTAGACAAAGCTTTTGCAGGTTCTTTGCAAGAAACGAAACTAGTTTTTAAATTTCTTATACATTTTTGTGGTAGAATCTTACCATCTGAACTGGATTGATTATTCCGATGACTAACCGACAAAATCTCCTTTTTTGCTTCTGAACTGCTAGTGGACTTCATGTAATGGGGTGACCTTCTGACCAAAGCCTTTTGCTGTTGTGGGGATGCTCCAGCAATTGGAACTTGAAGAGGTGGTGGCTTTCTTTGTTGGGATAAGCTCCTTATCGAAGACGATGAATGAGAAGGCTTGAAATCAGAAAGCTGAAAGGACCTTGACTTCAACATTTTCTTCATCTTATCAGTTTCTCTGGTTTTGCCATCTTGGTGCTGAGAGAAAGATGGCTTTAGGTTTGCCAAGCACTTGTCAGATTTGACATGATCAGCTTGGATACCAAGCTTGCCTAGAACAATTCTTTGAACCATATTTAACAGAAAACCACACACATAATAACGGGATTTGGAATCAAAACCAGTTTTTTCTGTGTTGGAATTCAAGCACAAGAAAAAGAAAATCCTCCTGTGCTTTGTTTTCCACAAAGGAAGTTCACATTGCAAGAAAAAGGAGGGACTATATCCCAAACAACCAAGAAAAATTTCCCCCTCTTGGTATAATTAGCTTTGTTTGCAGAACGTTATCTTCTTTCTTATTCTCAGTTGTTGGGCAGGTAATGCAATCTGAACAAGGCTGATACAAGTGTTTCATGGTGATGGGTACTAACTCAGGGTTTAGGGACTCTTTGTGCTTGAGCATTATTAGTACTTGTAACACCAGAACTCTCCATTTGCTAGTGGCTTGATTCGTATATTTAAAGCATAAAATCGTTGTTGATTTGATTCCTTAACGCATTCCCCTTCGAATGACTAAATTACCCTACCTTGGATTTGATAAAGAAAACCTTGAAGGCCTTTTCTAGGTGGCAGATTAAGACATTGCAATTTTTTTCTACTTTGGCATACGTTTGTTCAGTGGCAATTAAGTTCCATTAAAGCAGCCCTTTGGTTCACGAAATCGCCTCAACGGTTTTTTACTTTCAATCAATTGCTTCTTAATGGTGTTACACAAACAGATTTCTAAGTATTGTGTTTATTAAAATGGTAGGTATTTTATCTAATGGAATGGATAGATTATGAATAGCTCTTCAGTTTTCATTGTTAGTTGTCTTTAGTTTGTACAATATTGGGTTAGTCTTTTATTGACTGATCACATATGCTACTCAAAAATTTGATAACTCATCCAACTAGCCCAACTATGGTAATGAGATGTGATCCAAGAGTTGGGAAAATATAATAGGTGCTATCTTTAAAAGAGAAAAATATGTTTCTGCAATGTACCAAATTGTATACAAAAATTTAGTCTCTTGAGATCTTAAATTTGGATTATGGCTCTACCAAAAACTCTTTTTCTTCATTTTCAGTATACCTACTTCCTTCTCGCATTATTTTTGGACCTTCCTTGTGTTTAAATAAATGTGCAACTCAATGTCAGAAATTGATAATGAATGAATAGAAACTTTTTTTTTAATTCATGATAATTAATACGATGGTATGAAGAAAAAAGAAAAGAAGTTAATGAAGAAAAACAAAAAGAAGTTAAAACTTAAAATCAAATGGTAAGTAATCACCCTAAACAAAAAGTGTAATGCCTCATTAGGATATGATCACTGTATCTTTTATGGTCATTTGAGGCAACGAAATGCCACCAACCAATGTTTGCTCCTAAGTAATCGATAATGATCTTAAATTAAAAACGTAGTATCTGAAATAAGGTCAATGAAGATGTTTTTGGGTAGTATTCAAAAATCGTTTAAATCAGTTTGAGGAGAGCATGATCTAAGGTCCTACATGAAATTTCTATCATTACATTTTTGTCTTTCATGTTCATTTTATATGTCTAATTTTAATAAGTTCAACACTTTTTTTAATGTTTCGAATCGTTAAAATGTTAATGAATAACCACCCATAATAATAATTTTGTTACTTGTTTTATACATTTTACAAACTTATCATAAATCATCAGCACCTATCATAATAAGCATCTAAACAAAATAAATAAATTGAAATCCCCTTGAAGTCATAGTTTCTTCTTCGGATATTTGTATTACCATTGATTACCACCATCTTCCATGCACATATACCACGTAAAATCAATCATTAATGTTGATTTGAATTTTTGTTGTTTTAAAGTCCAAAAAAAAAATAAAAAAAAAATGCAAGGAGCCATTCTATGTATTTTGAATTTGAATATATTTTGGTTGAATTTGAACATGAAAGATAGACGTTATTTATTGAATATTTAAAGTTTATATTTAATTATCATTAAAACAGTAAGCTTCTTATGATGGCTTATAGAGGTTGATTTTAATGTTTTGAGTCAATTCAGACAGGGAAAGATAATCCCTCCTTCAGATACTTTTTCAAACTTTCATTTATTTGATTTAGAATTCACTCAAAGGACAATCAGTTCAATTGATTTTTTTTAAATATTTTTGCTTTCATGTTAATATTTTTTTATTTATATTTATACTAAAACATATTAATAAGTGTTTCTAATTTTTATAACTCGAAAAAGTTAAACTAATAAGTAATAATAACTTTAAAAAAATAGATATGAATGTGAATACTGCTTTTATGGAATTATACACAGACATAGATATCAAATTTTATTTTTTTCTATAACAAATGTGAATCTTTAATTTTTTTACAGTGAAACAATCTATTTAGTTACTTTCTTTCTCATTTTACCACTTTTAATTTTTTCTAAGACATGCATCATTTAATCTTGTGCATCAAATCAAATTATTTTTGTCCTTATTTGATTGATTAAAAAAATCATTTGTTTTTTAATTAATACCTTCAATTAACATTGTAAGTAATGGTTAAATGCGCAAGATATGAGCTAATTATTATTTAATGTATTGATTGACTATATGCTTATAGTTTTGAATTTTAACTTTTAATTTAATAATAATTTAGAATGCATGTTCTTTATAAAGAAATATAATTAAATTAACAGTTTTATTAATAGTAAAGAAAATTTTACGCAGCCAAAAAATAGAAGAATTTTCTTAATCATTTCGTGCAGAAAAATGGTTAGGCATATATTATACAAAAATGTTATAAAAAAAATTATGATAGAAACACATGAATCATAATAAATATCAAATTTTTAATTCCTCTACCATTTCCTTAAAGAAAGAATGATCAAAATATGAAATGATTCTTTTTCCAATTCTTCCTTTCCGGGGTAATAAATGTTTTCTTAGGCACTTGTTTTACTTTAATTAATTAAATCTCGTAGTAATTTTAACACGTGTTTACAGAATAAGCAAAAAAAGTGCTTACAAGTTTATCATTTAAAAATTAATAACTTTTAATTAATGATAGTAGTTCTAAAAACTGAAAATTGCATGCTGAAATAAAACAATTTCTGTAAAATATAGTATAAAATAAATTAATATTATTAGTATTTCATTTTGCTTCTGTATAGGGAAAGTTGTAGGGCACATATTTACAGTAAAAGTTCATTTTTCGATGTAAGAAATTTAAGTTTTTAAAAAATATTTTATCTTTTCATTTGTTAGAAGAAATACATGATGAGATAATAGATTATATATGATAATTTTAAAAAAATATTATTGTTAAAGAAATTTAATAATTATAATAAATAATAAATAAAATTATTTATTTCATTTCATTTATTCTTATTTATACTCTTTCCTTAATCCAAACAATTTCATTGATTTCTTTCTCTTTGTTTCTTTGTTTTTCCATTCTCTTATATCCACTACTCATCCAAACATATCCTAAGTGATAATCATGGGACTACACACATGTAAGTGTTTTATCTTTAGCTTTTTCTCTGCCATTTTTCCTTTGAGAAAAATAATACGCTGGCAAAAGAATTCTCTGCCTAAAAGAAAACTAGCCAACTAGGAGGGTCACAATCCTTTAAATATGATGGGGAGAGAGAGTAAGGTACTTGCACAATTCTTACATTTACAATCCTACATACCTATACAATTGTAGAGATTAATTTCCTAGCAAAATCGAATGAAGTAGTCCAAATTGGAAGAATTTTCTTCTGTTTGGAGGACATGAAGTAAATGGGACAGGTATACAAGCTAAACAAAAGATGATTATTTATATTCCTTTCCGAAGAGCAACAAATAGTACAAGAAAAATGGGAGAAACAAGAAGAAAAATATACGGCAAAACCTGATTCATTGCATTTTCTTGAACCAGGCCATCTTCTGGGGTGTAGTTGGATTTTTTTTCTACAAATGCATCAAAGTAATTCTGGTAGCCTGTGTTCTTTAAATAAAATGGAGATCCTGTTGTCATCTTCATCATTTCCATAGCCTGCCAGAGTTTGTAATAAACCATAAGAAGTAAATGTATGCATTCTTTTCCATGACATAAATAGGAAACATCCTAGATTAGTGTTTTTGAACACTATAGAAGTAAAGTTCTTTAAAATTCAGGTTGCACTGTTATGTGGAGTATCATTTTACTAAAGACAAAAACAAATTGCCCATCACACCAGAAATTACCTGAAAGCTGTACATGAACTGTCTTGCTTTCTTGCTTACTTTAGGATTTGGGTGAGATAGAAGCTTCTCGTACATACTTCGAGCCTCATCGGAACTATCAATCATCAAAATATGTTTAGAAATCTTGAGAAACGAAGAACGGGTCAATTAGTGATGAACACCACTTTCCAGTCTCAATGTTGTAGTTTTACACAAAGTTCCAGTTGTAGCAGACCAACAAAACTAGAATCTAAATGTTCATGGCAATAAAAACATACAATTTATTTTCAAGAAAAAACAAGGTCTCATATTCACAATTTAGTTTCAGCATGCTGCAGTGGTAACTGACAAGGATTTCATTCCCATTTTTCCCCACAGATTGCAACTTCACTTTTGGAACAGTTAAACAGTTTAAGTGCCAATCTAAATGAGCTACCGCATTGATGAAGGTGTTATTTCACTATGAACTAGTTTTATCTTGCCCTTTGCATCAGGCAACAAAATTGACAATGGAACCCTGATTGTGACTGCGGCTTAAACTTGACCACTTCAATGGCAAAGATCCCTGTTTCCAGAAAGAAATACAACAAAGATTGAGCCATCTCAGCTCAATCAGGGTGAACCAACGCTTTAATTAGAGTTATATTCTGGATTCAGATCCTGTATTCCCAACATTATTAATTTAAGGGGAAGTCCAACGTCATCATTTTGCATAAAACCTAAAATATAAAGTATGATTGGGTGATGACATCATCAAGAAATGAAAACAAACTTCAGGCCCAAATTTATGAATTGACCCGGATAAGGATAACAATATTGGAGACTACAAGGCCATACAAGATAACCAATTTGATGCACATTAATATGAAACCAGTTTCAGAACTACTTAATTGTTCATCCTTTTAAGTTAAACGCACAGCAACAAACAAAATACATAATTTTGAATAAGAAACAGTCCTCAATACGAACACAGTTGAATCAACAACGTTGCACATGCATATTTAATACTAGATGTCATCAATTTTATGTAGAACACAATTTGGTAGTTTCCATTAGAAGTTTAGGTTATGTGAAGTTTCTGAACATATACCTACTGAGGGAGTCTTGACAAATCGACCACTGCAAGGCAGCTAATCCATGGAGCTCACTCTGCACAGACATGATTAATCTCATGCATATATTCCTCCAAATATTTTTTTCCCTAGTTTCCCTGCTAGAGTACATGTACGTTTAATAGTTCAAAAAGTAGATGTGATGCTATGCTCAATAAAACTTAAAGTAGAAAAGAAAGAGCATCTGGTCCCCATTTTCTCCTTCATCAAGCATGAATTTAGTTCGTTTTCAGAGGGATGATATTAGCTTTTTGCTGAAAAGATAAATATGATTGTTTTTCACATCAGATAAGTATTTTATATGATATACCTGGAAGGTTATTTTATCCATGACCTTCTCATAGTAGGACAAGGCTTCCTTCAGCTTTCCCTCATTCATTAACAAGTCACCATCCTTCAATGCCTATAAATATCACATGCAATTTAGAAAGTATGTAAGTTGGGATTATCAAGCTAAAGATAATCAACTAAAGAAGAGGCAATAACAAATTAAATTACGAAGATAACCATCTAATAGAAAAGCATTTAGAAGTTAGATATATCCTAGCTAAAGGAGTAAAAGAGGTTGTGCATGCTAATTTTCATTCATTTCGTACATTTCTACCCAATCCTTTGCTCCAATCTGTCAATCTTCATTCTCAACTCCTATTTCTGCCCAACCCCTTGCTCCAATCGGTCAATCACAATACTCAACTGAAGGCTTCATTACCAGTGAAGATTGAATTTACTAACCAGGAGGAAAATTGCAGTTATATTGCAAATCCAAGAGATGATTAACACGTTCATCAATATAAAGGTTGAGCTTAAATCAATTCAATTCCAAAATGGCATTTTGATGTTGCTCGGTTAATTTATTTGAAAAAGTTTGTTTGCTAAAATTCATCAGTTTGAAATTTCTTAATTTATTTTCTTGTAAGTACAAGTGCTTGAGAAGAAAGCTGTTAAAAGACTCTAAATTTAGTTTATTGCCATTTAATGCATTTTGAGCATGTTAGGAAGAACAGATAAGTTAAATGTCAATCTATCATATTCTATCAAACCAAGTTATTTCCTTGATTTTAATAAGCAAAGAAACCAGAGCAGCTTTAGCTGTATATTTTTTATATTGATCATAGCAATCAATTGTTAATAATAAACAACATTCTAAATGCTGAAAGGAAGGAAAGAATAGCAGTAATATTTGGAATTCCAGTATATATGCGTACCTCCTCACACTCAGATTTTAGCTTTGGATCAATGTTCATTCCAATTTTCTTTTTATAGGCAGCAAGTAGCTGCTTTGTGTGTGCTTCTTTAACAGCCTTTTCTTCTTCAGTCTCTAAAACCTCTCCTGGACGTATAACTCTCCCACCACCAAACTGAAAATGCGGAAAAGCAAAGTGTAAAAAGTGGGGGTAAAGGAGAAAGGGGAATCATAAACAAGTGGACTAAATTGGTTTCATTAGGCAGGATCATTTGACAAACACTAAATACCATACTGTTTTTGAAATATTGGCAGGTCTAGGAAAGACACCCCAGGTAGAAACTTTTGGCTTGTAAAGTTCGGCCTCGTCTTCCTTGGTCTGTTCAAGTTTTGGAGCGGTTGCATCATCAAACTTGCTTGTGTCTCCAACAATAAGCTCCACCTCAGGCAAGTCATCATCAAAGAAGGGATCCGAAATAGGAACCAACCCAGGTGGCAATCCCCTAGTCATCTTCTTATCTGAAAAGTCAAGCCCCACAAAATCCATCCTTGAAACTGAAAGTTCTCCTCCCTTCTTACCAACCGTGTTGTCCATAACATTTTTTCCTGAACTCCTCTCACTCCCTCCCAAAGATCCTAAAAATGAATCCAAACACCCATTTTAGCCCCAGATGCATATTGAAGGACGGATACATACCTTCTACTTTATCATTAGGAGTTTGTCATTTTGATTTTAAAGTAAAATATGACTTCATAATATTTGAAAGTATTATATGGATTTACAAGAATTTAAAAGACTTCATCGTGAGGACCAGTTCAAGGAAGTTAAAAGTAGAAGTGGTATAATAAGACTAAATGTGAAGTTTTACCGTTTAAGTTAAAAAGAATTATAAATAAAAAAATTTAAACGTTCAAACTTCATTCTCACAAAATCACCGTATCTCTACCATTATCTTTTTTTTTTCCTGCTTTCTCTCTAAATTTCTCGCTCCCTCTCTCAACTTTTTCTAAATCCAAGCACACTTTAGTGCTTCCGAAGGAGAATAGATCATTTCTACTCAATCAAAATTTTGAATAAAGTGAATTTCTTATTTTCTAATGTTAGACTATTTTTGTATATTTTGAATTTAGGTCTACATGTGGGTTCCGGGGAGCTTGCATGTAGGCTTTGTTTGTGAAAAGATAAATATTGACTAGTTTAGGATTATTGTGATATCCTCAATTTGTTAATTTGAGTTTTTTTTGTGAGTAGGATCTATCTTCTTGAAAATTTAGAGTTTTTGGAGTTTTTTAACTTGGAGGCACAGTATTTATGAGTTTTTGGAGTTTTTTTAACTTGGAGGCACAGTACTTGAGGTAAGGGAAGTTAGTTATCCTTCGATTTTCATAGTACTCTAGACTAGAAGATCTGGGTTGTAAAGGTGACTTGGCCACATTGATATAAGTTTCAGGAAATTGGATTGTGTCATTATGTATGTGTTGATTTGTGATGATTGTATTGAATGTGAATGTTAATTTATTTTTATATAAGATTGAAAATGATAGTCTTTTTGTATGAATGTATTATTCTTAGATTGAATTTAGTGAATTGATTTACAATTTGGAGGGTAGTGTTTAGATTTAATTTGAGTTGGAACACTAGAGACAGGGAATTGAGTAGATTATGCAGTTTGTTATCATCACGAATCCGCCCAGCAGATCTACATTCACTCAGCGGATTTTAGGCAGTGTTTGAGGTTCCATTATGTCAAAATTCTGCTCAGCGCTTTCAGATTCGTCCAACGGACTTTGGGCAATGTTGAATGTTTCATTCTGTTAAAATTTTGGTCAATAGATTTGAAAATTCGCTCAGCACTTTCAAATTCACTCACCTGTTTTCAAAAAATCATAAAAAATAGCTCCGAACTCTAAATTAAATGTTCCATATATGCAAAATGAAGTCCAAAAATAAGGAATCCAACAAAATAAAAATTAGTTAAAAATTATGTCTATAGAAAAAGTTATGATCAAAAGAGTAAGCAAAAGTTAAATAAGAAAAAAATTATATTTTGTTATAATGTGAGAAATGATATGTATATGCCTTAAGATATTAAAATACATGTTATATACATGAAATAAGGTGTGTTGAATGTTATTTTGTGCCTTGAAAAATGTTATGTTAGGATATGAGAATTACCAACGGGAATCATCATGTTTATAACATTATATGTTCATATATATTGATTTAGAACTCGAGGAGAAATCTTAACTCTACTGATAACTGGAATCACATAGATAAAAATATCACGTGGCGAGAGTTGAAAGAGATTTCTAATGACTTAGCCTGTGGTGTGAAAAAAAACCATGTCTTGATAAGTCATCTAGAAATTTATCCTGGTCACATGTGAGTGTATAGACCAAACTGAGCCCCCTTATGTTATGCACTTGGCGAGTTGTGGTGTGACAGATGCAAATCTTTAATGTCTATTTCAATATCTAGTCTTACGAAAGTCGTCTAGTGTTTGTGTGACATGAACGTGAGCCTTTATGGATGCGATGTGATATATGAAAACTTGGGATGAGTTATATTGTTTTATCTCATATTTGAATTTGTATACTTAAATTGAATTACTAGCTAACTTTGTGTATTTTATGTTACTTTGAACTATGATAACCGTGTTTATACGAAAGTAGATGTTGCAGGTGGTAGACCCCATCAAGAGTAGGTTTGGAGTTAGGAATAGTATAAATTTATGTTTTGTTTTAATTTTAAGGTGATACATGTATATGTATATGGAAAATTATCCTTTGAATTACTCTGTGCATTTTAATTATATATATATATATATATATGATATGCATAGTTTTAGGGCCGTTACATTCATGCCTTTTAAAAGAAATTTTAAGTACTTTATAACTTTATCTCTATATAGTAAAATACATTTTTTTATCTGTTATCCTATTATGCAAAATTATGTGAATCAAAATATGTTTCAATGAGAGTATGATATTACAGTAAATCTTCCAAGATACAAACAACATTTGAAGCTAGATTAAGTTGATCTTAAAAATAGTAAGCAATTTTGTTATTTGTAAATAGTAAACATTCCGAGAAAAAGAACAAAACATACTCAATAATTCGCTACTTCCAGAAAAAGAAAACTAATATCATGGGTAAGAAATTCCAAAAACAACTATCAAAATAACAAATACATGATAAGATTTAAATTTAAAAAATGTAAAATCAATATAAATTATAATAACTAATTGGCTTTAGTTGATTATCTTTTATATAAGTAATTACATATAAAAAATGTAAATCAATACAAATCATACTAATAAATTGACTCTAACTTACTCATATATATACCATTTTTCCAACTATCTAAAATTATACTAATCCTCCACATGTTAACATTTTTTTCTATCTGAACTTAACTTTTGTTCAAAGGCTACAAAATAATTTTGTTGATTTTTGTTTTATAATATTTTAAAAAACATCTATCGATGTAGATTTGAAAAAATTAAAGTAGTTTTTAAATGGAGACTAAACGACTGTTAAAGCCACAAAAATTTTAAATTTTTAAAAATCTTAATTCAACATTACAAAAAAAATTTATAAGAAAATGATTTTTTATAACCTTGTAAAATTCCAATTGAGTACACCCTCTATTCATTTTACTTTCCTAATTTTCTTCTTCTACAAGTTTATTAAAACAAAGTCTACTGTTCAGCATTTTGTAATATTGAAGGTTGCAAACATTCCTTAATCACAGAGAATTATATTAATCTTGCATGAATCAAAGGCATGAATGAATTTATGAGCAACAACAAGTATTAATTATTACCTTGTGTTGTTTCACTAACAGAAACGCCTTTGTTCTGCTTGTACTTTTTTGCCTTCTCCATCGCAATCTTCACGGAATCTGGCAAATCCTTCTGGTCTTCATCACCAATGTTTCCTTTTTTAACTGAATCTTCATCATCAACGCCTTGTGCAGCTCCCAAATCAGAGTTCGTTTCTATGGACTTTTTATAAGCTTTGGCCTTGTTAAACGCGAGCTTCACCGGATCAATGGGGCCCGTTCCGGCTTCGGGTGCGGATTCAGAGGATTCAGCATTTTCAGGGCCCGCGGCCCAACACAGCTGCTTGACGGGCTTAAACGTGGCTGAAGGTGGGCCTGCGAGTTTTGCGGGGGACAATGAAGAGAACCACGGAGGCTGCAAACAAGTCATGTTTGATGCGTGTGAGAGAAAGAGAAGGATCAGCAACAAGGAATGTGAGCCTCAGTGTTCTTTGGTTTCTAGTATGTGTTCTGTTGGTTGTTAGATAAGGCAAACAAACCAAACCAGCAATTTTTCTAGCATTTTAATTTTAATTTATCAATTCATTGGTCCTCCTTTTAAATATTTTTTCACAAGAAATATAATACATATTATTTAATGCTGGTCAATTTTTTTAAGCTAAAATTCAACTATGTCATACAAGCACACAATGTGTTTAATTTTTATAATGTAAGAACTTAAAAGAAATACTTTTAGCACTTTTTTTTTTTTTTTTACGAGACATGGACCAGACTCCTTTAATGTTTATTTTTTAATTGAAAACCAATCAAATAAAAAATTAATTGGATTTTTGAATTTTTTATTTAAAATCTCATGATTTAATTTGAATTAGAAAATAAGATAAAATCAAATTAAATTAAATCACATATTTTATTTAAATATAATATTTTATATTTAAAAATAATTTTTCAACTAATATGCACTTAAAATTATGTACTTTTTATTATTGTTGTATTTAGAATTTGGTTATATTTTATTTGTAATATATTTATATTTATTAAAAATATAATAACAATTTTTGAATTCATTTTTTAATTATGAAATATATTAAAATTGTTATTATAAGTACCAGCGAAACACATAGACGTATATATTTCGTATTTTTATTTTAGTTTATTAAAATTTAATGTATATGTTAATTTTAAATATAAATATTTTTTAAAATTATGAATAATTAAAGATAACATAATTTTAAAAAATGAACAAAACATATAATTGAATAATAAAAAACAAATAACATTTTATTATTATTTTATATTAAAAAAATGATGCAATGTCTAATTAATATAAAGTAAATAAATATAAATTATATTTGTTATCTAATACCGCTATAAAATATTAAAAAAATATTATTATAGATAATTATATAATTTTTTATAGTTTATTTTAAAAAAATGTTTAATATTTTTATTTATTAAAATCATTTAAAATTCTTTAAAAATTTAATCATAAAATAAATGACAAAACCATCCAAATCAAATATATTTATTTAGTTTGGTTGAAATTTGATGTTAAATTAAAACTAAAATAAAATAAATTATATTTGATTCAGACAATTATTGGATGGAAAATTTAACCAAATCTTAAACGATCAAATCTTTGGTTTTCAACAGGAACAAGTCAAATAAATAAATATAAAAGAATAGATTTGCTTGTAATTCAATTTTTTTCTTATAACATGTTTAATCAATTATATATATATATATATATATATATATATATATATATATTTATGTCAATAAATCAGAACAAGTTTTAAATAATTTTTGTATTATCTTTGTTTTACGTTCCTTCAAAAGATTAAGTTGTATAATTTTTTCTTTTAATTTATTATATGTTTAATTAATTTGAAGGTATTTCAATTTTATTGTCTCACATATATATATATATATATATATATATATATATATATATATATAAATTTTAAGTTATTATAATGTTCTTTAACAATTCATTTATTGTGTTACATATTTCTCTAAAACCATTTTATATTTTTTGAAAATTTTATGATATTGTTTATAAATTATAATTTACAACCAATTTTGTAGGAGCTATAGAAGGGCTTGTAATTCATTTCACATCCACAAACTCCTATTTTGTAATGGGCTTTCGTTATTGGGTTTAAATGCTGACTGTGGCCAACCCAACAACATAGAGTTTTTATTTTTATTATAAAAATGAAAAAAATTTAGGGTTTTTGCAGGCTTGCTAGTTGATATAAAAAGGATTCCTTATCTTCTCTCTTTGTTTAGGTTTTCTTAGCGAGTGTTACCCTTTGCTCCTAACACTGAGCTTAACCCAACTTCACAAAGGTATCGTCTTTATTGCTCTACCATTCATTCACCAAATTTTATCGTTCTTTCACTGTACCCTGTTTGTTAAATATTGGTTTCATCAGATTCTCAACCATTTTGTTTTGACCTTCGCGTACTGATTTTATGATGTGATGATTTTGAGTTCTATCTGATTTCATTTATCCGAATTTGGGTTCTTTTATTTGGGATTAGTATACAATTTCTCTCCATTTCCGTGTGGGATTTTGGAAATTTTCGATTTTGGGTTACATTTTTTTTTTTTTTGCATCATTTGGTTTTAGGGCTTCTATATTTCGAATCACAATTTATTTATTTTTTCAATTTCAAACTTTATTCGTGGTGGATAACTGTTGAAGGTATAAAACTATGATGGTTGCTTTGGATTATTTTCTTATGTGAAAGACTATATGTGTATAGGTCGTTTTAAGTTATGCATTGGAATCAATTTAGGATTATTTTTGGTGGAGATTGTTAATTATCTTGTTTACATTTCCTCCGAGGATGAACAAAAATATACTTTCGTTCTTCTGAGTTGTTTCCATGCGGAAAATTATTGGAGACCTGAACTGAGGAGGCTGTGTAAAATACATGTTATTTTGTTGATTTTTTTTTTCAGATTGCATTTTATAATTTTCTATTCTCAATGTACCTGGTATTGATAGTCTATGTTGTAGTTATCTTTTATAGTATATGTATTTAGTGCAACAGTGGGGTTTATTTAACTTTGGGCTATCACCTTTATATGATATGAGCTAGTGTTGTAGTTGAACTCACATCTGACCGAGTTAAGGAGTTGTCTTGTTTTGATAGGCAGCACTGCATCTTTAATATTCATTTGTTCGGTTTCAGTATGAACCTTAACTTTCTTTGTTGTGAATATGTATGTGTGTGCATTTAAGTTTTTGTATGGCACTATAGGTGTCCATATATAATTATATATGTGGTGCTGATAGCATTTGATTCATGTACACCTCAATTATACAATGTAGCCTTTTTTATACCTTTCCATGTGATATGCCACTGCATTTTAAATTGAATCTACAATCCAATTTGACTATTAGTCGTTCTTTGTTTTTTTGTCAAAAATTGCCTCTCCAGTTTGATACCATTCATTTTTGGATCTTTCTATGTTCCTAGTTGGTTAGGATGAAATTTATTTTTGTCTTCTTTGCCTTTTCCCAGATGAATAGGGAAAAGTTGATGAAGATGGCTGGTTCGGTTAGAACTGGAGGAAAGGGTACTGTGAGAAGGTATATCCATACATTTAATCTGGGTTTTCATCTCAATAAAAGTCAGTTCTCTTAGTGTACTGACAATATTAGATTTTAAAATGCTATTTTCGTTAAAATGTTTTTCTAAATACCTTTTGTCATTGAATTAACATTGCCATATACAGACATAATTTTTTAACTTTTCCCATATCTTCCCTTTCCATGTGTACTACTTATTTGAGGGTTTGTAACCCAATCTGTTTTTTTTTTTTTTTTTTTTTGGAAATAAACACACAATGCATCTATTGAGTTGAAATTTCTGTTGATGTTTTCACTTTTAGAAAGAAGAAGGCTGTCCATAAGACAACAACCACAGATGACAAAAGACTTCAGAGCACTCTGAAGAGAATAGGGGTGAATGCCATTCCTGCAATTGAGGAAGTCAATATCTTTAAGGATGATGTAGTTATCCAGTTTCTAAATCCCAAAGGTAATATCGGTTCAAAATATTTATAATTTTTAATATAATAGGCTTTATGTTTTGTTTCAACTATATTAAATTGGAATTTTTTATTTCCAGTTCAAGCATCCATTGCTGCAAATACTTGGGTTGTCAGTGGTTCTCCACAAACAAAGAGTAAGCAACTACATCTTTTGTCTTTGTTATCGTATGCCTAGATCTATCTCTTTTCCATGAGAGTATGTAACTAAAAAAATTGGCTGTCAATCAGGTTTCTCTAATTAGGTTTTAATGCATTAAAGAACACAACGGCCTTTGTTTAGTATGTGACATTGAAATATTTGGGGATTGTTATATTTGGACTACACCAAGGCATTGCTACCTCGAATTTCTAGATAAGACAAATGTGTATTTGGTTCTGTTTATTTTACTGAGATATTTCCTAGTTTTTGTCAACACTTAAAGGTTTTGAGAAACAAGCAATTAGTTCTTTGCTGATTTATGACTGATTTATTATTGAAAATTGACTTAAACTTTTCTCTTCTTCAGAGTTGCAGGATATACTCCCCAGCATTATCCACCAATTAGGTATGTATTTTAATTTTTTTTTTTCAAAGTTGTTTATTAGTGTTTCTTTTGCCTCAATTTAACATTTTGATTGATAAAATGCAGGACCAGATAACTTGGAAAACCTTAAGAAGCTTGCGGAGCAATTTCAGAAGCAGGCTCCTGAAGGAGCTGCTGGGTCAACCACAGCTCAAGAGGAGAATGACGATGACGACGTCCCGGAGCTTGTTCCAGGACAGGATTTTGAGACAGCTGCCGAGGAGACCAAGGCATCTTAGAGTGTTATGTTATTGTGCCATCGTTATATATTCTGTGTTTTTAATTTTTTTCTTGATTTTCCATTTTAAGTATTTTTCAGGTGTTCAGTTCTCCTGTCATATACTTTAAACACTTAAAATACTCTATTAAATCTGCTTTCCTTCATCTAACTAGGTATATACTTGACTGCATCTGTCATATGCTGATAATCCGCAGTTCTCACTGTTCCGTATTCAAATCCTGCCTGATTTGTTTCACATTCTAGTTTGATTTATTTTTGATGGGTTTGGTTTATAAAATTTAGATGGGAGGGTTCGGACTGAGTTAGTATGATTTGAATCTTCATAAGCTAGTTTGAAAACTACACCTATTCTAATTTAATCTTTATTTAAACCGTTTTCATGTATTAGGAATGTTTTGATGTAATTGATTATATTTTGAATGATAAATAAATAGTGGCTTTACATCAATAGTATGTAAATCGTGTAGATGTTGTAGAATGAAGATTGTTATGCAGTATATATCCTAACGTGGATATCAACACAATTGTTTCATAACTAAAACATAAAATTCAAATTATTCCTAAAAATCCAGATTGAAACATTCTATGTAAATGGTTGTGATTGTGCTATAAAAATGGTTCAGACGAATTGTTTCTATGAAGCTGTTGGGTCCAATTTCTTGAAATAATTCAATCAAGCATGTCAGTTTGAAAAAATTGAACTGAATCAATTAGAAAAAGTATTCTTAATCTTTTACTTATTTTTTCTCATAACTATTGATAAGATTATCATCATAAGATGATTTATTATAGATAATAAAAGAGATTTAATCTATATTTTCCTTTGAACCATAAATTTAATTTATTAGATACCCAATTTAAATACAAAATCCATTGAGTATACAAAACTAAAATTGGTCATTTACAAAACTTCTTTAGGTTAGAGAATTAAGACATATTTAAACCTATTATTTCTAGCACGACATTAAACTAAACTCAAAGTTTTAGTCTTCAATTAACTGAACATGTAGCAAAATTAAGTTTAGGATAAATTTATTTAGCTAATAATATATTTACGTTCATTTAAAAAATTGTGATATTTTTTAAATTAGTCGCTAAAAATGGATAAATTAGTGTGTAATAATTCTTTTCCATGTAAATCATGAGTCACGTAGTAGTATCAGATAACAATAGGTATCAAAAAAAGGTTGGGTCTAATAAATGCGCTTAGCTTATAAATAGAGAAATATACACCTTTTAGGGTGTCTTGGTTAGTTGGTATGATAATAACCATAATAGTAAGGTCAAACTGGCCCATGCTAATGAGTTCGCCTAGTTATTAATATATTTTTCATTTTTATATGCATATTATAATTTAGAAAGAATAAAAAAAATATTAAACATAAATCATATTTGTTATTTTTTTATCTTCACATTTTGTATATTTTTTTGTTTTTTTGTTTTTTCCTCACAATCACAATAAACGACCAACATCAAAACATTCTGCTAACGCCAACTCGCGCATCTCTTCTTCAGGCATTTTGCGTGGTTCTATTTCATTGCATCTACACACCTCTGCTCATTTTATTCTCATGTCCCAGTAGGGATTAGGAGATGACGGCTCCAACTTTTTAAATTTTTGTCCCTCATTATTCTTTAAATTTTTTATTTTTATTAATATTTATGATTTTAATATCTAAAATTTAATAATTATGTATATCTACAAATTTGTTTCTTCTTTTTTTATATTTTTTATATTTATTAATAATATATTATTTATTTATTTTTTTAATATTTTTTATTTATTATATTTATTAATAATATATTATTTATTTTTTTCCGATATGAATATTCAAGATCCACTACTTACTCATGTCTCATGTCATTAGCCATGACATCGGGCTTCCCAATTTTCTCTCTGAATTCTTTAATCGTCTATGTATTTGTCTTTATTTTCGATCAGTGTTAAAAATTAATTATTCGTCCTTCGTTGAGTTTTGTATTTTTCTATCTGATTTATTTTATTTTAGAATATTATAATTTTTAATTATTATTATTATTATTATTATTATTATTAATTAAATATATTTTTTATTTTATTAAATTTATATTAAAAACATATAAAAATAAATATTTAATTTTTTTATATAGTTATAAAATAATAATAACAATAATATTATTATTATATATCATATATTATATTTAATATTTGATTATATGTAAGTTAATTATTTTTTTAAGTTATTATTTTAAAATATTTATAAATATAAAATATATAATTTATGAGAAAATATTTAATAATTTAATTTTTATTTAATTAATTGAAAGTAATAAAAGTTTTAATTATAATTTTTTTTAATTTTTTAAAATATATTTATTTTATTGAGGTAAAATTTTATATACAATAAATAGAAATAATAAAACATATAATATATAATATAATAAAATCTAATAAAAATAAATTAGAAATAAAATAATAATAATTAATATTAAAAATAGTAGTGTAAAATATTTAGAAAAAAATAAAAAATATATGAAAATTTGTCTTTATTTATAAAATTTATTAAAAAAATTAAAAAATTAAATTGATAAAAGAGATTAAAGAAATATAAAAAAGAAAAAAATATAATAAAATTGATTAATTAAAAAATTAAAAAAAAAGTAAAAAATATAAAAATATAAAATATTAAAAAATATCTTTTATAAGATGAAAAAAAGTAAAATATTTTATAAATATTAAAACTTTAAAATTTAAATTTAAATATAAATTCAAAATTGAAACGAAAATAATACGAAGATTAAATTACCCATTTTGCCTCAACTTTTTAAAGCTAACAAAATGGAAACCCACCCCATCCCATCATCTCAGTTATTCTTGTAAAACTCACACTGTGACGAATTGATTCCTGCATGTATAATTTTATCTTTTAATTAATTTTTCACTTTGTTTTATTTATCCTCGCGTCCTTATTATAAAATTTATGATAATTTCCATTCGTATTACATAAATTACTCGTTAGTAATTCATTTATTAATAATCATAATTTTATCTAATAATAATAACTTCGTCGAGTAATAATAATGAAAAATATAATGTTGAAAAAAATTATATTTAAAATTATTTGAAAAAATTAATGTAAATACATCGGGAATAACAAGAATTACGAATTAGTTGTTTTGGATTCAACCCATTCAACTTAATATTAGTTCGAAAACTAATTTATTGTTTCTAAAAAATGATTTTAATTAGATCGATATAAAATTAAAAAAATTAATATAAACGAATTTGATTTTTGGATTTAACTAATTTTGATAAAAAGAATTAAAATCAAAATTTTAAGAAGAATAAACTTTTATATATATATATAATAAAATACATAATTATTTTAATTATTTTTTTATCTTACATGAATCTATGTTAATATTAAATAATAAATATTTTATTTTATCTTATTTTATAATTATTATTTTTTTACTATTTGTATATTATTAAAGATACTATTTTTGGACCTCTGAACTTTTAAATCTAGAATTATGTCTTCTCTGCTTTGATTTTAATAACATTAATATAAACATGTTGTGAGTTATATATATATATATATATATATATATATATATATATATATATATATATATATATATATATATATATATATATATATATATAAAATCAATGAATGAGTTATTATTTTTTAAAACAAAATCTTAATTTTTTTATTAAACAAGTTGGGACTTTTTTTTAGTTTTAAATTAAACTAAAAATATTATTGACCTGTTTGCCTTAAAAAACATAGTTAAATTTAAAATATAGGTCTAAGTTATTAAATTATTTTATTAACAAGGGAAAATAAAATTAGGTTATCTATTATAATAATCTACCAATAATTTATTAATTTATTATTTTTAATATTGTTATTAAATTATTTAACAAAAATGTAATATGATGCACAAAAATGTAATATGATGCCGATGAGATAATGTTGGTGATATGATATGACGTATGTAGCGTTGAAATAAGACTTTTTTTCATAAATAATATTATTTTAAAAAGTAATTTTCAAAATAGTATTTTTGTACATTATTTACCTATCTAGTACTATTTACTATTTACGTTTTAAAATAATTGATTATTTTAAATTATGATCAATTATTTTAAATTATGATCTATTATTTTGCGTAAGATCAACTTTTGCTCAAGTGTTCCATTGTTTGAACTATGAGACCCGCAACTAATGGGTATTGTCAAGTTTTGTTTCGCTCAAGTGACGAAATTCTCACTCAAGCGAGAATGGATTGAAATATGTGGGGATCCAAGTTACATTATGTGGTTAACTGCGTTGAACCTTTAGTTTGTGGTCAACTTTCGCTCAAGTGAAAAATCCATCGCTTGAGCGAGGAGACCTGCAACTAATGGGTATTGTCGAGTTCTATTTCGCTCAAGCGAGAAATCCATCGCTTGAGCGAGGAGACTCGCAATTATTTGTAATCGATTATAATTTAAAATAATCGACTATTTTAAATTATGATCGATTATTTTGCGACTTTTTTACATAATTAATATTTTTTTTAAATAGTTTATGATATATATAATTTATAAATAGTTTTTTTAATTTTAATTTGATATATCTTTTTTATTTGTAATTATTTAATGTAAATTTATTTATATGTTTATATATTATACTTTATAATTTTATTTCTATAAATAAAAAATAATTACTCTAAATTAATTAAGTAAAGAAAAAATTTTATTAATTGAAAAACTCATAAGTTTCATACATTAAGGCATTTCTTAACTAACACAATCTAATTATGCGAAGTAGATGCACATATAACATTGGGACATATTCTTCTGCTATGACCAGGGGTATGACAATATGAACATTTTTTCATCCTACTTTGATTTTCTATAATAACCATCTTAGTTCTTATAGGACTTGATTTTAGTCGACCCTTTGAAGTTCTTTTCATTTCTGGATTTTCACACAAAGTAGGTCATGTGTACGTTGGCCAATATTGTTC